TTGGTGCGTCTATTTATGCCAGAGACAAAATAAAAAGTAATTGGGAAAAATGTTTGAAATTGGAACGTAAGTCCAAGTTTGAATTAAACAGTGAATTCAAATGGGCGCAACTGGTAGTCAAGAACTAAATTAGGTGTAAAGAATGCAATTTATATAAATAATCCCAAAAATCAAAACGCTAGAGGGTCTTAAATAAATAAATAAAGTTATTACGTGTTAAGTATGTTAATTAGACGGATTGATTAAAAGATCTAACTTACATTATTTATAAAATGTTGCTTTATAAAACCTTTTTGATACTTATCAACATTTTTTAATTTAAATCTTACAAAAAGGTTGGACTCAAGATAATGACTGGTCATTTGTTATCGCCGCTGTAAACGTTTAGCGGTGCAAGTAATAAGTAGATATTACGAAATATTTTGACCGAAGTTTTATACAAAGGAAAATGAGGATGAAGAGGTCACCAAATCTCTTACGTTGCTTTGTTTACGGAAGTCAGCAACAGATTTAACTTTATTTTTGATTTAAGAAGTGACAAATAGGTAAGTATTGTTGTGAAACCTCGAACTACTAGGCATTCCATTTTCAAAATAATAGATTGGCATGAAGTTCGTAACACAGCAGTTATGCATTTTCATTTGTTTTTAAAATCTTCACTACAGATTCTTGGTATTGCATAATGAAAACTGACTATCGATATCGACTCATTTACGGAAAACATAATCTAGCACTAAACTTACCTACTTTAAATTACAATAACATTGTATTACTTTTCTAGTAAGGTGGAATGGTTCTAGCTTCATATACACATCAAAAGTATCAAAAAATAATATAATTTCACTCCGAAAGAAATCTCGCAATCTGACGTTCTTTTTTATATTACGTATCATGGACTGTACACATGTCCATATCAAAGTCACGTTGATATAAATTCGAGGTCCGTATCAGCAATGCGACGAGGTTTCGTAATTTGCTGCCAGTGAATTCGGGCATGGCGACGCTACGTAGCCTGCATGCGTCTTTGTTTTAATCATTCTTTCGATGTTAAGAAAGAAAAGTCAATGGTTGCTAGTTGCAACGAATTTAAGGAAAAACTTCACAGACTTTAGAATTAATGTATGATGATTGGATATTAATTTCCAATTAGCCATGCAACAACGTTGACACTATTAAGCAATTTACTCTAAAGTAAACAATAAAAGTGCTACACAGAATTGTTTCTTTCAGAAAAATAGTTTATTTGCTACGAAATCTATTCAAAGTCCCGTCTCTATACGAATTTCCGATCATCGACAACTGAAACGTGACGCAAACACATCATAGTCACGTTATCTATCGATATAGCCAACGTAAACCGTCAAAAGTACCAGGCAAGCATAACCAAAACAAAAGTAAACTATTTCGACAGCCGTACGCTCAATAAAAACTTCTAAACTTGAACATACCGCGGGACAGGGACGCCGCTATCTATGGATTCTACCGTCTCACTCTCTTTACGTCAGTTGACAAGCAGTGGGTGAACGAACTTCGAGAGTTTACTGGGCTAAAAGTTGAATGTACCTCCGTTCGCGGACATTACGAACAAGATAGCAACTTTAACATACGCATCGTGTCAATGAAATGACGCGAACACGTTTCGGTGGTGCGGCGAATGTAATCAGTAAGCCGAGTAATCAGGGTCGATTTTCTTTTGCAAGTGCCTAGTTTATGTGTCGTTTTGGAATAGAACAGCAAGTTTCTCACGACTACCACTACATTCGCACGTTAGTAGTGAGACGTGTGTGCGGATGGGCGTTGGTGTATGTTTGTGTGCGCTCGAGGTTGGTGTAGTCTTGAAAATAATTTCGCGGTCACACCAAGCCGGCGGGTTCATATAACCTGAACCACCTGTCTGTGTTGTGCGCCTAGTTATTTATATCTATGCGCAAACCTATGTATCATAGCTATATGTATATATAATCAAAATAAACCAACATAACTTGGCATACGAGGTAATTTTCAGTAGTGGCTGTTGAGCGAACTATGCCTTTACATTTTTTGTGGCGGTGTGCGATTACAGTCGTAAATATAATCTACAATGACTGTTAATTTGTCTTCTGTGAATGGTTGGAGTTAAGAAAAAACGCAATGAAATGGAAAGCGCGGCTTGTAGTCGCGAAATGAGTGAGGCACCTGTCTTGAACAATGCTACAGCTGTAGATAACTTGGGATACATTTATAAAATGTGGTCTTTAGAAGCATTATCATTATCTTCACACCATTTCTGAGATAATAAGGACAGGCTTGTTTTAATACTTATTTAGTTTTGCCTCGGGTAAAGAAGTAAGTAGATTAAAGTTTTACAACGAGTATGCGTAATTGACATTCACAATAGAGTTAACCACAAACAAGAATATTGATCACTTTATTTTTCTGTGAGTGTTACCATGATACTTATAGACTCTTTTATAGTTTGCTTAAAAATAAGGATGGCAGATGTTCGATATCTATTTTTTTTATTTTGTTTATTACAGTATACCTTCGTAGTTTTCGTACCATATTACTTAGCAAAGGTGGATCCATTGGTTGCATGCTGTCATTGGCTCATATTAGGCATAGATACCAACCTTCATATTTAAATCCTCATATTGATCAGTTAATAGTCTTGTGTTCCCAAAAGAGGAACGTTGTATTATTGTTTCTGTTATCTTTCTTTCTTGAAAACCAAGATATGCACCTGCATATCTTGATAACCACCTGGTTGTGTAGTTGCCACCGCTACTGCCAAGTAAGGAGTTATGAGATGTATCCTTAGGTCAAGCAAAGTTCAAATCGGTTTTAGATTTTCGAAATTATATTAGGAGTCTGTAGTAATGCCCGGTGTATGATAAAAGGCTCACCTCCTTCACTACATTTTTGTACTCAACATAACTGGCCAAAAGTAAGAGCTTACTACATCTAAATCTGCACCTCTGCCTACCCCTTATCAACAATATCGATTACAATCGATATACCTAATTACTTTGTCAGATTAACGCCTACTAGACATCGATTCAACGTAATCGATTTGCTTCGTAGTGGAGTTCGCGTAGGATGAGCAGCTTATATTCATACTAATACATTGATTTATTGACTACACTCATCCTGCAGACGGAAATGGGAATTGGCAGAGAGAAAATTAATTGTGATGACGTAATAAGATGACATTATTATCGTGTCTTTTGTTTTCTTGATGGGGGATATTCATTGAGTGAATCCTCCAACCTTAAATGAGACAAGAAAGGGATTTAGACTTACTCTGAGTTTTTTTTTTACTGGCCTCTGTGCTACACATAATATCAACAGCGCCGGTGGCGCTTGCTCAGCGATATCTAACTTATAATTAGAAATCATAAACCCAGGTTTCCTCACGATTACGGAGCCGCGGAAGACTTAACGGGTTGCCGGGGCTCCGGCTCGACGTGCAGGATAAGGAACGGGGTAGTTTTTAGTCAGTAAGAGTCTGACACTCCCTCCCGCCTCACCCAGGCGGAAGAAGTCATTGGATAATTTTCTACCCTCAAAAAAAAAAGGTTTCCTTACGATGTTTTCATATAACTCGAATATGGTCCATTCTTGTATCCATTGGTACTTGCCGTTGGTAGGTTTCGAACCCAAACCCTCATGCCTGAAAAGCAGGTCTTAAACCTCCACGACATAATTACCCTCTGTGCTATTAGCGTCAATTTTTGAAAACAGCAACCATCATCATCATCATCACCAAAGTCAGTATATTATTTTAATTTCAGTCTCAAGTACCACCATACGATCATCATAACATCACGCCTTTTATCCCCGAAGAGGTAGACAGAGGTGTGCACATTACGGCACTTAATGCCACTGGACAATGTAACAACCATTTTTCACTATTTATGTTATGAGTCCCATGTAAAAGGGGGTGAGCCTATTGCCATATACCGGGCACAATTCCAGACTCCGTGCTACAACTGAGATTTTTTTTTAAAAACCCAGTAATACTTTGCCCGACCGAACAGTTCGAACCCGAGCGACCATTCGGCCAACGAGGCAGTCCACACGATCATTAAAGGAAAATTTTGTGAGTATTATTACCAAAACATAATTTCTGTTAAAAATTTCTAAAACACCATACCGCAATTGGGTACCTGCCTTAATCAAAAATAAAAATAAATAAAATATACATTTTCATTAATTGATTTTATGACCAACTTAATGTTTATATTTTTCCAGCAATTTTTTAAGTAATAAGTGTGCTGTTTGACGCTAAAAAACGTGACGTCACAATACACAATCTCGCACAAAATTAATAGAAAACTGTCGTTTTTAACAGTTCGAAAAAAAGTATTGAATTTGACTAGTTGGCAAGTACCCAATGGTGAACCGTCAAATAGTGACGTTTAACTTGAACCCATCCCAACAGGTCAACAACCTTCAACGGATGGATACCCAATCAATTTGCGACCACATCAACTTTAGTATAATCTTATATTTTATTAGTATTTCCGTAAGGAACAGCTGTACGCTATAAAATCTTCTATACTTCTATAGATTAAGAACCTCTTTAGAAGAGTAGTTGCAAGCGCGGCTGTCAACCGCAAGGTCTTAACTTCAGTATGATGTACTAGATAGTACAGAGTAGTACAGAGTATAAGTATTAGAGTAGCAGATGGGTATACCCATCTGGGTATAATCTTCAAAAGGTGCCCGAAGTTAATATCAGACACAGAAATCAGATCATACATATAATAATATCTACTATAGCTATTGTTTAGTACATACATACATACATAACTTCACGCCTGTCTCCCATGGGGGTAGGCAGAGACTAAGGAACGCCAATTACTAAGATTCTTACATACTCTTTCGCTTCATTAACAGTCATCAATCTTTTGTCATCTATTGTTTAGTAGTTGAGTTTACTTTAGTTGTAGTCTTGAGCCATGCTTCGGCACGAATGGGCCGACTTGACCGGAGTGATACAACAGCCTCACAGTAAACCGACGTGAAACGACACTTTCGTTGTGTTTCGTCATGTGAGTGAGGTTACCGAAAGCCCAATTAACCCCCTTCCTCTCCCCAATCTCCCTAATCTCCGAATCCCGAACAATCCTCAAATTCCTAATCCCTAAGTAACGCATTTGTAACGCCTCTAGTGTGTCGGGTGTCCATGGGCGTGTCAAAGTGCGCACTTTTGATCAAATGTTCCATCTGTTCGTTGACCGGCTTTTTCCAGAAAAAGAAAATAGTTTCGTATTTATATTATAAAAAAGTATTAACCAGTTGTAATTGATGCTTTCCTATTAATAAGTCATTATGGCAAAACTTCACTTACTACATAAAAAATAAATACATCACAGGTCCATCTGTGCAATCACGTCTACATAGGCATACATACATATCATGTTTTTAATCTCCATAATTTCAAAACTAACAAAGTTTTCTTGGACTTGGGATTTGAAGTCTTTAGGTCTTAGGAAATCTCCAGCGAACATATATATAATTTAGCATAACTTGAATAAAGCTACTTAAGGAATGCATGACGTCACAGTCGACAGATTTTCCACAAGCCAACAGAAAGTCGCCCACAAAGAGATCGATACAAAACAAAACTATAAATAGTGTATTGTGTCATTCACTTTTACAAAGTGTTTATAAATATCAACATATCATATATCAGGTGTCATAATACTAGCTTTTCTTTATAACTTCGTTCGTAGCAATCTGGTTATTGCAAATCATATGTATGGTCCATTTAAATCCATCCATCACTAGCGAAATCAAAAAATTGGTAGCGGTGATATATGTACATCGTCTTCAACAACATCATCAGCACGATCAGCAGTTTCCACATAGACATCGAGCTATGGATAGCTCTATGTCAAATCTATCAAATCCTCTGCTGAGTTACTGGAGTAACTCAGCACAGGATTTGATAAAATAAATAAAATAAACGTAACATAACATAATATCACGCCTTTTCTCCCCGAAGGGGTAGGCAGAGGTACACACAGAAGTAACTTCCACTTTTCACTATTTATGTTATGAGTCCCATGTAATAGGGGGTGAACTTATTGCCATATAACGGGCACATTTCCAGACTTCGTGCTACTACTGAGATTCATCGTCAACATATCAGCTATAAGACATCCACTGCTGAACAACATCAACAAAGGCTTTCAGGCCTCCCCTAATGAATTGCAAATCGGCCAGTTGGAATCCCCCAAACTATATAAGTACAAATATCAAATACTTCAAAAAAATATCAACGTTGATATACGTACTTTGTCCAAGAGAAAAGTTTAAAAATGTGGAGCGCATACGCAAACGCATTCGATACTTAAAAGGAAACGCATCGCGGTTGGGGTCAACGACCGATCTCGCGGGCTGATTGAATTTCATACTTCAATTATTGATAAAAATAATTTGTTTTATTAAAAGCAATCAATTTTATTACGTACGCATTCATTTGTTTGTATATTTTCAAAATTAATTGGTCTGATAATGATACACTAAACTAGTGAGTGTGGATTTAACATGCATCTTAATGTTTGTTTTAGATGTATTTGATGAAATGTTACAACAAAAAATGTTTTTATATATAACGTACCTAAACGAAATATAGGAAAAAAAAATATATCAAAATGTATTCTACTAACTACCTAAAAAATAAAGACATTATTAATACAAAATGACTAAAATAATAATGATGTTTTGATGTGCATGAAAAGCGATTTAGCCATTCTCGAGTTTTAAACAGTACCTATGATCATTTTCTTTTCTACTTCATCAGCTCATTTTCGTACTCCACTGGCTGAACATAGCATGGCTATTGGAGAAGTCCAGCAACACGTCACTCAGCGCGATCTACAACTCTGAACATATTTTATAACCACAGCCAATTACTATTTACAAACTCATTTCCATTTTTTTATAGGATAAATCGGTAGGTAAATGAGCAGACGGATCACCAGGTGGCTTACTCTTGAATCCAATTCCGATCGATCGACATTGGTATGGGAAATTTCGTACTCTTGAGTTGCAACACCAGCGCCCATTGCATCCGTATTGCGTGGATATTGAATGAACTAAATGGTATTGAGTATGGCTTTATATCCCGTACTCTAAATGCTATATTAACAGCTACGATTGTGGTTGTATCGTTTTGACATTGAATAATCATTGAGATTTTATTGGATTGAAGTTGCATTGACATTGAGATTGGTTTCAAGAGTAAGCACCCTGATGGTAAGCAATCGGCGTCGCCCATGGACACCCGGAACACTAGAGGCGTAACAAGTGCGTCACCGGCCTTTTGAGGATTAGGAATTTGAGATTTGTTGGGGATTCAGGAATTGGGGAGATTGGGGAGGGTGGTAATTAGGCCTCCGGTCACCACACTCACACAACGCAAGCGTTGTTTCACGTCGGGTTTTATGAGGCCGTGGTATCACTCCGGTCGAGTCGGCCCATTCGTGCCGAAGCATGACTCTCTCACACACAATCCATATAAACAAAAACAAACTCGAAGACTTCATTCTTCGTTCAAGAAAGAAACATTTCATTCAAACTTTTGACTTAAAATCTTTGATCATATGACATGCTACCATTATTTTCTTTCTACAAAAGGTCATTAGAACTATAAACAAAACCTGTTGTACATGTATGTATGTATAGATATACCCACCTGTTCTATGTAGACAGTATCCACTATAAGCTATGTCGATTCGATATCTATTAAATTATGTATTGACATTTATTTCCTTGCGTTGGTTCCATAATAATATAAGTATATGATATCTCGAGATGACATTACGTAATCTATCTATTTTTAGATAAACTACCCCCCCCCCCCCACCCGGCATCGCACGGGCGCAAAATGCATGTATTATACGTATAAACCTTACATAAGATTCACTGTTTATGTTAAAAAAACCGCATCAAAATATGTTGCGTAGTTTTAAAGATCTTAGCATACATAGGGACAGACAGACGGCGGATAGCGACTTTGTTTTATACTATGTAGTGATGTGTTTAAAAGAAATTTCCGTTGTGTGGCTGGATGTGGTTGCAATGCTAAGAGTTAGAGTTCGGGTACAATGCCGATGTTAAATTGCTGGTTGCTTGCATATCCGCGAGTCACCCAAGGGCCAGTAGAATACCAGCGCAAGGATCTGTCTTGCACACGCTGAACTAGTCCCATTTCTTGTTTTTTATGGGGTAAGCTAGTAAACGGGCAGACGGATCACTTGATGGTAAGCGATCGCCGTCGCCCATGGATGTTACCGGCGTTTTGAGAATTAGGAATGTGAAGATTGTGGGGGATTCAGTGATTGAGGAGACTGGGGAAGGGGGTAATTGGGCCTCCGGTAACCTCACTCACACGACGAAACACAACGCAAGCGTTGTTTCACGTCTGGTTTCTGTGAGGCCGTGGTATCACTCCGGTCGAGCCGGCCCATTCGTGCCGAAGCATATAGATAATAGATAAACAATTATTTTATCATAACCAATAAGTTCCTTTTATATTGTACGAAATACCTGTATTTTAATTAGTAAGATTGGACTCTAAACACATTCTTTAATTTCATAAGCTTTAATTAAGTTTGAAATTTGTGTGACCAATTTCACCAGTTCGTCCTAATCAGAAATCCTCGCACTTATCCTACCCTGGTAGTTTTGCTAGACTTGCCATTATAGCAATCAATACTTAAATTACCTAATTAAATGAAAATACATCGGACGAATTAATTTAGATAGAACGAAGATTATCAGATGTCTTTTCATATTTACCAAACATATTTGTATAAAATATTTATAGGCACTTAATTTTTCAAACCTAAATGCCTAATGTGGTCTAGAATCTGGTATCGGTGGAAAAATGTATGTTGTTCTCATATTTTTTTCTTTATGGACAGTAATTTAATCCGTTCGCGTGATACAAACAGAGAATACACGCATAATATAAACTATTTAGCCCCAGCATCTTCTGTTTGGCATTAATATATAGTAGCACGCATGTCGCATATATTGTGCCTCTCTAAGACCAAAACAGCCTGGAGCAATGAACATCACAAACATGAGTAACGAGATGAAAACATTCGTGTGTGATTCGCAGCCACTCGCTACTCGCAGCCATTCCTCGCATCGTCCACGTATTGCCGAGCGTGTCCATTCATCACCGGCTTTTTCCTTCTAAACCAGCGTCAGTTTGTAAACACGTACTGAGTCACCGACACAGTTCCGATAAATAGCTCGTGTTATAGTCGTTTTGTCTGTCTGCCCGTCTGTGTGGCTCGGAAGTGAAAGTGTATAGAAAGCGGTGAAAATCTCGGCGGGCGCACGATCTTTCCCCGGCCGAACACTCTAGACAAATGCAACGCCTATGCACTTCTCTATAGCTGTATACCTACGTATTGTTCGAGTTTTACGATTGCTTCGAGACAACGAAATGTGAAATCGACGACTGCAGAGAATTCTAATCTAGTCGCAGGTTCCACGACACGCAACAACCGCGATGTCTCTGTACAACACATCAGTGTGCAAACTGTAAACTCACCATTATTGTCCCCCACAACCGAGAATGTATCGCCTCCCCACAACTTACCTGTTGTTACTTCAAATTAAAAAGATCAAAAAGAAATCATCATTAAAACACAATCATAAGAACATTGTTGCTAGTGACCCACATTCGACACACGCGATACTGGCATCAAAATTAACGTGGCTAGAGTCTGTTTTTGTATAAAACGACGTATAAAAGTGAATGTTTAATGTCAAGAACACGATAAAAATATCTAGGGAGAGGATGAAGAGTAGATCACGGTCAAATATAGACTTTCTCCACTTTCTCTGACCTAAATGTGTGTATTGTCGTAGGTCGAGTGGTCGGCCTTCGGGGTGCTTCCACTTTTGATTTTATCCGTCACTTTCATTAACCTACGCCTGTAGAAAGTTGTGACGTAGAAGGCGTCGAAGGTAAAAGTACCAGGAGAGAGCCGGGATAAGGTATTAAGGTTGATAGATGCTCGGACTCGAGACGTACGCAGCCGTTGGACGGAGAGCACGATGCGGCGATGACTACGACGCAGCTATAGAAATGTCGAATATTTATTACAAAATATTATTAAAGTTGTGTTTAAAAAAACATAGAAATTAAATAACTACACAGGTTTTACCCATTTCAAATTAGTAGACACCATAGCACGTAGCAATGGTGCCACCAAGTGATGCTAGAGTCATTTTCGATGTATGTGATGCGGAGGAAAGTTTGAACGCTTCAATATTCACATTTTTTTCTTCTTCTTTTCTTCATAGTCTAGCGTGTAGCTCGTCAAATAAAAGATATTATTATCAGTCCAGAATTAGCAGTTTTCATTCATTACAACCAAATAATGAATGAAGAACTAAAAAACAACGGCAAATTTTAGCTGTATCTTTTATCTCTACCTACACACGAAACTATCATAGTTAAAGAAAAGTAAACGCATTTAACTAGTAATATGCAAACAATGATATTTCCCATGTGTCAATTGGCAGCCCACGCAGCGCCCTGCCCTTAGATTTCACATTTTAGAAAAGCAATGACTAACAATACAACTGCACTCGGATATTTTCTAAGTCTGACATATACACCTAAGTATAGGTATGCTAAGAGTACCTAGGCATACCTATACCTTCTGCCCGTAACTGCGATGCATTGAAAACAAATGCTAATTCAGTAAGGAATTAGGTTGAAATCAGAATGGTCTGGTAATCTTTTGACGTGAATGGGTGATGGAGGTGGTGGTAGTCAAATGTATTGGATGGACACTGGAGTTTCCAGAAAGGCATAACCTGGATGTCTTCAAGTCCCAAGTGAATAGGTTGCTAGGACAGGCGAGCTCCGTCATTGGCCGCCTTATCTCTTACCACCAGGCGAGTTAGAACCCAAATGATGACAGGGTATGAACATTAAAAAAAATATTATCCGTAAGTTAGGTAATGAAAAAATATTAGACACGATTTTTTTTATTTTGTAGTATAATAAAACAATACTTAGAAGTGGGGGCTAAAACGTCATTTCTACGTATAAAATGTACATAGAAATGACGTCACGCGACATTTTAAATCAATATATCATCTAAAGTATTAGTTTCTGTAAAAATACGTGTCTAATGATTTAAAATAATCTTTTAAAATAACCCTATTCTTTGATATATTATATGACCAGTGCGATGTACTACGTGAAAAGACATACTTTTCACATAACTGGTAAAAAGTGGATATTAAACTTATTGAGTTCGTTACCCCTTTTGACAAAATGAGGCATTTTTATTTTTTTTAAGGGGGGAAAATCATCGGATGACTGCCTGGGTGAGGCGGGAGGGAGTGTCAGACTCTTACTGACTAAAAACCACCCCGTTCCTTCTCCTGCACGTCGAGCCGGAGCCCCGGTTACCCGTTAGGTTCTCCGCGACTCCAAACAAAATGAGGCATAGCATTCATAATTTGTATCAACATAATTTCTTTCATCTTTATCAGCATTCTCATTCATTCTTGACACACCTCTGTCACACGCCTACGTTCGTTGATCTTGTCCAAAACACCACATCTGTTACCATTCATTATGGAAGTACCATGCGATTGGAAACTGCATTCTATAAATAGATTTGATAGGAGAAAGTGAAAATATGTGTCACTTCATATTTATGATGATGAAGACTTCCAGGTGCTACTGCGCCGAATGCTTTAGTGTTCCCATGGTCATAAACAATTTAAATTAAGCACATAATTCTTAATTAGTTATAGGTACTTAGATTAATTGCGACTGCCGGGCAACGGGTCTCGGGTTCGATTACCGGGTCGCGCAAAGTGTTACTGGGTTTTTAAAAAATTCTCAGTAGTAGCACAGAGTCTGGAATTGTGCCCGGTATTATGGCAATAGCCTCACCCCCTATTACATGGAACTCATAACATAAATAGTGAAAAGTGGGTGTTACATTGTACAGTAGCATAATGTGCACCTCTACCTACCGTTTCGGGGATAAAAGGCGTGATGGTATGTAATGTTATGTAGTGTCGGCAGATTTTTTTTATATATTTAATGGGCCGACGTTTGACCACTATCTCGCCTGGTGGTAAGCGATGATGCGGTCTACGATGAAGCGCGTCGTCCCATAAGCAACCTATCCACTCGGCCTTGAAGACGTCCAAGTTATATCCTTCAGAAAACACAGTGTCTGGCAAAGAATTCCATTCCTTAGAATAAAATACATACGTCAACCAAGAAGCAACCAATGGACTACAAATTCGACAGAGCCTGCAGGCAGCAGCGCCCTCTGGTAGCTATACCTGAAACTTAAAATTGCGATCTACAATCTCTACCCCACCTGCCAAGCATTGAAATGCCTTTGAATACCAATTACTAACTACCCATAACACATTTAATTTGATCTTACCTTGGGAACCATAGCTTCATCTTAAATACTCACTTTTTATATGATGCTGTAACGATTAATGTTATATATACTGGCGACCCGCCCCGCCTTCGCACGGGTGCAATATGTATGTATCATACATATAAGCCTTCCTTATGAATCACTCTATCTATTAAAAAACTGCATCAGAATCCGTTGCGTAGTTTTAAAGATCTAAGCATACATAGGGACAGACAGACGGCGGATAGCGACTTTGTTTTATACTATGTAGGGATAAGTGTGACTGTAAAAATTATGTCAAATAAAAAAAATTTAGGGTCCGTCATATAAGAGTACAGCAGCGTATTTCTTAATATCTATTCCTCAAAAGATATTGCCCTAACGCTAAGTTGGTTATCAGATGTTTCCACGTTCTCAGGTTTTGTAAAATCAACATTCATAATTTTATACATGTTCGGGTTTTTTTTAATTGGTTCGGCACCTTTGTGCCAATTTAGGCATAAGATACCACCCAGCCTTTCACTTTCATAACTATATTTGTATCAGATTCTTATCAAAATAAGTCCAAATTATAGAGGACAGCGTTTCGTGATACCATACATAGCCATTTTAAACAAGTAGATATTTACAAAAACCTGGGCTATACGCTATTCGCAGGTCTCGAAAATCGATGCTTATGTGTGGTAAAAGTTGCCAACTAAAGGTCAATAACCTGCAGCATGTGCGGTTTTGACCTTAAAGAACTTTATTACTGTAGCAAAGTCAGTGAAAGTGGGGGTGCGTCAGTTGGAACTTGGAAAGTACCTCTATATGCATATTCCCTTCAAATTATGACGTAGGATTCTATTTTTAAAATAAATTTTAGCCGTTTTGTAGAGCAAGCCTTAAAACCGTTAAAAAAAAAATAAGCGTTGCTTAATTAATTCCAAATTCATAATTAAATAAATGATTGCAATTTGAAAACCATTGTTCACAGTTTTTCCGAATCGTGTTCAGTATAATTGCTATGCTGATCGATTGGAAATCAAATAAATTAAAATAGGTAATTAATTTGATTTCTATCGAATATGTAGGTAGTGCGATTTATGACCTAATATTTTGAACGTTTTCAATTAATATATTAATCGAAAAAATAATAATACAGCAGGTTGGTACGCATACTGAAAGTAGTTATGAATTAAGAAGGAATGGTCACTATGTTCTGTGGTCACTGTGGCTATATTTCAGTCTTTCAAAATCAGTAAGTAGGTAGTTTTAAAGATAGTGTTACGACCTGCACCATAATTTTTTTTTCCTCTTTGGCAACCGAGTCTCCAAAACGGAGTTGTCGACTATACTGCCAGTGCACCATATTAATTCTTTTGAAATTATAATCTCCGTATATAGGTACCTACTTACCGATATTAAATTAAACAAACACTATAAGTTAAGAGAAGACACTCTTTATAAATCATACGGAAGCTAGCAGTTCGTACTTATATTAAATGACCGATAACGGCAGTTTATTTGTCATGGCTCCTCGTTCACGTTATTCGCTTGATCGCATGCAATATTTCGCCGCAGGTGCAATTTGCGGATGCGATTTGCCGTGCATGTCGATTTACGAGTCATGTTTTTTATTATCACGATCTGCTCTTTCGTTGAACTTGACTGACAAGGCTTATTGTACGGTACTTTTAAGAATTGTTTTGCAAATTCAAAATGTTATTAATTTTACAATATATTTATTTTGTATTAGTGCCATCTATGTGCGTATAGCTTTATCAACTGGTAGTAGGCCACGCCATCTCTCGGTGTCTACTCATACTAATTTGACAAACATTTGACATTTAGCACTGTGTTGCCAAGTTATGTAATAAAAGCTACTAATTTGATTAAATAATTTAAATCAATATTTTTATCTTTTATAATACGTAGGAAAATATATTACACAGAAATTATATTACACAGTAAAGTAATATATTTTCTGAATTAGTGAACAAATTTGCTTATTATCTTATATTGAAAAATGTTATTATTATATTAGAGCATGGCAATGGTAGTATAAGGGAACGCTCAACTGTCAACACTAGGCTTCGGCTGCCATGATTTGGCGTTTGTCTTGTCATCTATTAGTGCATCGTCTAGAAAATTACAAAAATGTTTTATGAAAAGCTTTATTGGGTGCAACTGTTCTTAGTATCTATTTTAATTAGTTCTATTGTAGCAGAATGGAACACAAGGGATTACATAAGACGAGAACATTCACTCACAAAACCGTACCAAGGTGAGTGACCTTTTCCCGGTGACTTTGATCTTACGTCGAATAATTTGCACTAACAATAAAAATTATCAATTAACTACAGGAGGTGGGTATTCGGTGCCTTACTGGGACTTCTTAGGTAACACTATAGTGACTTCGAACTACGTGAGACTAACTCCGGACCTGCAATCGAAGTCAGGAGCAATTTGGAACACAGTTGTAAGTAAAATGTTGTGTTTAATTATAAATGCATGTTGATAAGGTGTTGTTAATGTTAACATAGACACGGTGCCACGAGGCGGCTAATCTGTACCTAGAGATAAGCTGGGCGAAGTTGGCAAATTCTCATAAATTCTACATTATATTTGTGTCACAATACAATGTAGTTAATATCGTCTGCCGTCGTTCACACATGCCTTTTCAGACAGTGTTTATTCAGATGTTTTATTTATTCTCTTTTACTTAATAATTTGAATATTCAAATTACAATTTTATTAATGTAATTTGTCGAGCAACCATATACTCAAACACATGCAAACTTCATGATTAATGATTTCTTTTCCATGACTTTATTCGTAACTGCTGTCTAACCATTTGTGAATATATTACGGAAAAAAATAAATTTTAATGTTCTACATAAGAACACTAAAATCAATGAAGTTCACCCAGATTAGTTACTTTTTTCACCTTTACTACAAATAGGTTCCAATGCATCCAAACCGTTCTGATTAATGTAGATAAACTAAATGCTTTTTTACCTGTACCACACATAGGTTCCAATGCATCCAAACCATTCTGATTAATGTAGATAAACTGACTGAATTTAGTTTTATCTTAATGACTTTTCTATTTTACTGCCATGCGGTAATTTCTATAAAACAAGTAACCATAAAAAACATAAAATGATCAGAACAGTACATGAAAAAGATCATGTAAAGTAAAATATCATTCTTTTTGTACTAACTTGTACCTTCATCAAATATTATAAATACATAACATCACGCCTTTTATTCCTGAAGAGGTAGGCAGAGGTGCACATTATGGCACTTAATACCACTATACAATGTAACACCCACTTTTCACTATTAATGTTATGAGTCCCATGTAATAGGGGATGAGCCTGTTATAAATGAAATACTTAAAAATATATATTGATAACAATGGATAACCAAAATTCAAAATGTATATATGGTATGCCCAGAACTGTTGAATGACTGCAACAAATTGTATCATTATTTTTATCATATATTCAATATCGTTGAGACAAAGTTTGTACATGAATTCGAAAGATTCAATATATTAATCAGGAACATTGGTAAATAGCACCCAAGCAAAGCTGGGGCGGGCTACTAGTTACAAATATTAGTATGTTCTATTGTATATACAAGTCCAAATTACAAATGGACTAAGAAACAAATGAAACTAGAACTACTTAATGTCCTAACATAACAATGCTTTGTTTTGCTGATTACAAAGTCAATAATGTTATAAGGTTATTCGCCTTTAGTGATACATCTATACTTGTTATAGATACAATATAAAACTAGATGTTATTCACAGCATCATCCACACAGACCAAGCAAAAATGTAGCCTATATCACTCAACAGACACAAAAACCATGCCATAAAAATGCTTTGTTGGCCTCATTGGCCGAGTGGTCGTAAGTACAACTCCCGATCAAGGGTTTCGGGTTTGATTCCCGGGTGAGCAAAGTATTACTGGGTTTTTAAAAAATATCTCAGTGGTAGCATGGAGTCGGGAAATGTGCCCGGTATATGGCAATAGGCTCACCCTCTATTACATGGGACTCATAACATAAATAGTAAAAAGTGGGTGTTACATTGTACAGTGGCATTAAGTGCTATAATATGCACTTCTACTTATTCCTTCGGGTATAAAAGATGTGATGTTATGTTATGAAATGCTATGGTGTGACATGAAAGAAAAGTAAACGATCACACTTTTGCATTTGTTGTATTAGTGAGAATTGATAAGATGACAACGGTGTGATTCATCATTTATAAATGTGTCACTGCATTTCAATTTAACCAGAACTATTGTATTTATCAATAGACAGATATTTCTTTATTGTTGCTACTACATCCTATACTATACAGTAGAACAATTGTATTCATTATAATGACATACTAGCTTTGGTCCTCAGTTTCGCCCGCGTGTCCGTAGGTTAAAAAGCAGCCTATGTGTTATTCCACAGCAAAATCAACCCCTGTTCCAAATTACATTCCAATTCCTTCACCTTTTTTGACTTGATTGAGTAACAAATGTAGGCACATAAATCACAAACTTTACATATAAATGTACATTCATAAATGTTACTAACAATTTTAAGATTTTATTTTTGTCTTCATGTGTCGAATGGATAATCTCTTTCTTTCTTTTTTTATTGAAGAAGTGTTTACACACACATATTTTGTAGATCCCTACAACATTCTTGTACCTATTTTACTTCGCATTTCAAACAAAATTGTTACAAACTATCTTCTGCCAGCGGCTTCGACCGCGTCCCCGTGGTATAAAACGACGACGGTCTTTCAGACTATAATCCCTATTCCAAATTTAATCCCAATCCCTTCAGCTGTTTTGGGGTGAAAAAGTAACAAACATCATAAAGAGTAACACACATACATCTTAACAAACTTTCGCACTTGTAATATCACTTAGAAGTAAGAGAGAGAACTATAAACTTTATAGTTTAGAGTATAAACTTCTTTCTCCTTTTTCCTAATTGTTTTGGTGTCAGCAACTCGGCATTTAGTCATAATTCTTAGCTAAATGCCACATGTATTTTATATGACTACTGAGTAATTTACTCTAGAACATTCTGAATAAATTTTACCAGATTTGGCAGTCGTAGCCCAAATATACTAGTGATAGTAAAAACATAATAAAAACCGTGACCTTCATTCATTTGTTTGATTTTACAATGAGAGTAATCATTCAGTACAAGGTTACAAACACTCTTTCAATTTAAATTGTACCCTATCATAAAATAATAGAAATCAATGTTGTATAGTTGTCTAATGTCTAATTATTTAAACAGTGTGTTATGCTCAATTCCAATGGAGTTTCAATAGAATTTCACGGTTCATAAACTTTGTTATACTATGAACTGAAATTAGTTTTACATTTGTAAACTATAGCCTAGTTATTAGCTACTCCTTGTTATTATAATTTATGACATTCACAGCATGTTAGTTAACGTTCAATCACGCCTACGCCTGTTTTAGATTTATGAGGGATAGGCAGAAGCAATTAGGTATGTCAGTCAGTCAATCAGTAATGTGTTTTTTATGACATAAGCCGGTAAATGAGCAGACGGATCAACCGATGGTAAGCAATCGGCGTCGCCCATGGACACCTGGAACACCAGAGGCGTTAAAAGTGCGTTACCGGCCTTTTGAGGATTAGGAGTTTGAGGATCGTTGGGGAATAATAATAATGATACATAGGTACATAAGTAGAGATAATATTCCCATATTTACGATCTCCGGCCACCGTAATCACGGACCTGCGGACAGCGAGCATGGGTAACTCGCCGCCCAACCAGTACCAGACCCGAGCGTACGGCGCTTCGCGTTTCGCGCGCGCCTCAAAGAGCCGTCAGACCATCACGGACGGGGCCCAATAGGGCTGATGCCGATACTCTGGCTCGAAATGCAGGAACAAGTACGAAAGTATAGGAACGGGGTGGTTTTAGTCAGTAAGAGTCCTGACCTGACTGACTCTGCCTCCCTCGCCCAGATAGGAGAAGACATTCGATGATTCTCCCCCTTAAAAAAACCCATACGTTATATAAATAGTAAAACCCGACTTATGTATGTATTGCCACAATTCAATTAAAAGTTTTCCTATCAAGTATTATTACTTTGACTTTGCGATAAAGATTAATAATAATACGAAACTCGGTTACACCATTTATTGCCGCGTTATTCTAATTACAAATTGTTCAAGCTATTTTGAGTTCTAAGTCCTATGACTTACACCTATGTGTAGGAGTAAGTATTGTGTGAAAGAGTAACATAATTAAATTAACTTTGTAAGTTAAAAGAACAATATATTTATGAATATTTTTGTTACTTTCTTGCAAAAACCAGGCGGGAGCAGACATTCGATGATTTTCCCCCCTTAAAAAAAATCCCAATAATACGAGTAAAGCTACTGATTTAGCGCTATAAATCTATTATAGTCTACACTAAATAAGTTTATTTTATCTTTATAATGCGACCGCTAGCAAAAACTAGTCTATCAAACAACCACGGAGTTCAGTCTAATGTCCAGTCTTTGGCGCACCACCTTACAATAAACTGGCAAGAATAGATACTTATGGCCTTATAATCTAGCAATAAACTTTGCCTGCACTATATTCCATGTATGTACCTAAGTCTAATTAGATTCAACCATTATCATTAATTACTATTAGGTAGGTAATGACCCCAATAACGTGCTAAGGTCAAAGATGTAAAAGTTAGTCTTTTATAGAGGCCCTAGTTAGGTGTTCGTGTTTGGGTCAAGCGTATGAAGGACTTAATGCTACCTAGTACACAGGGGCGGATTAAACAAATGCGCCCTGGGCAAACACCTTATATAGCCTTTAATTTTTTTGACGTCGCCATCACTCTCTAACGGTTTACCGGGGCTCCGGCTTGACGTGCAGGAGAAGGAACGGGGTGGTTTTTAGTCAGTAAGAGTCTGACACTCCCTCCCGCCTCACCCAGGCGGGAGCAGTCGTTCGATAATTATCCCCCCTTAAAAAGGAAATCGGCTATGGGGACTAACATTTTTTGCTCACCAAATGGCGCGAATGTAGAATAGGTTTGTTTATGTCCAACCATAGCTGCTGTCATATATTGAACGTCCAATAGTGTTGCACTAGCTAATTCCCTATTGGACGAAGGATAAGAGGTTCACACTAGCGCCACGTCGGCAAAAAAACAGGCTCTGTCGCCCTAGGCACTTACTTAGTATACCTTGGGGATAAGGCTCTGCTAGTTCGTACACATAAGTTATTGAAATTTTCAGCATTGTATATGAATTGAGACTGGAATTTTGCCAAACGTTTAGTGCTCAACTTGCTTGCTTAATATAGGAACTACTAACAATATAAGTGGCAAAAATAGGTTTAATGAGTAGTCAGACGTTTCATTATTACTTAAACATTTTCTTTGTAACGTTTTTATTTATTGCCAAAACCATTGTTAAGGACTGGGTAAAATAACCGACTCGATACGGCTATAATTAATAGATACTTATTAACTATTAATAAATGTAAACAGACTGAGATACAGGCATCGTCAAGTTCAGGAGACAGAGCTTGATATTGTTGGTATATAAATAAAAGATATTATTATTACTATGACAAATAATGCACTAAAAATGTGATTTTAAAAAATAATGCTGTCTCTCAGTTAAATAAACTTTTCAATGACTTTATTTGTTAAATAAGACATAATATTACGTAACATGATTAAGAAAGTATACAGGCAATGTCACAATGCAGAAATAAAAACGAAACTACAATAAAAGGTAATAAAGATCTATACATTTGGCAACCACAATAGGTGTTATCGCCAAAACACAAGTCGTGTTCGATTCTAGTTTGTTTATTTACATAATATAGATACTAACGATGAACCAAAAACCTATATACTTGAATAAATATTGGTATGTAAATGTAAAGAGTAATATTCGCGTGTATGTGTCTGACTCATTTGTGATAACGTTTTGTCCGTTAATATATTATATTATAGTGGATCACACGGCTACACGGTCCGATTTATAGTGGTCTCGCTTTGTATAACTTTCCAGCATATTTGACGATCAGCTTATACTGGTTTCGCATAGCTTGATGTGGCCATATGTACCTACCTAGTACCTAGGTAGTAGAGTAATTTTAGAATACCGTTCGTTGATCTGTGCATGGAATGTCGAGATGAATTCGCTGTAATATTAGCTCCATTCTTAGATCGCGTTCATAAGTACTGCATTTGAAATTGTGCTCAGTATATGAAAATAGTCTCACTTATTACTTATGCTACTCGTATCATAAGTGGTGAAAAGTGGGTGTTACATTGCATTAATAAATACATTCACAACTGCCTAACTCGTATCTGGAAGTCATTGGGGGAGGCCTATGTCCAGCAGTGGACGTCCTGTGGCTGATATTATGATGATGATGATGAATCTAACTCTTCAATGATTAAAAACGTTTTTTAATCATTTTTTTAAACGTTGCCCCGCCCTAGAATTTTCTCCTGTATCGTGGGTGCGATTACAAATACAAACATACAAGTTCACAAACACATGACACCCAGACCCGGAATAACAATTTGTGGACCACACACGGAGTTGCAACCTGTGTGGGAATCAAACCCGCGACACGTTGCGCGGCAGACGGTTAGTCAGCCACCGCACCAACCGTGCCGTCAACTGTGATATTAGTGGGATACCAATTTCTTGCCTGCCTTGCCTGGAAGTCATGGAAGTGTACCTTGGCCCATGACATCTTACCTGTTAAACTGATGGGCCAATTTCGACGCGGTTTAATCTGTTATTATAGCAACACCGTCATGTCCTAACTTTAAAAAAATATGTTTGTTTACAATATATTTTTGCCATTCGACGTGGCAATGTTGCCAGTCTTTTGGGCACCCTACCTCACGATAGCGATAAGAAATTTTTTTTTGATGCCTTATGATAGCCTTGCCTTTGCCTGGCCTTTTTAAGGTGTATGTAATTATTTAGTTATTTATATTTTAAGTTGTATATATTTATTTAATTTAAATTCTTATTAATAATGTTAATCAACTTCTTTTCTTTATTTCAGCCATGTCAAACACGCAACTGGGAGCTGCAAGTTCAATTCAAGGTCCATGGTCGTGGCAAGGACCTGTTCGGCGATGGGTTCGCGATATGGTACGTCCGCGACCGTATGCAGACAGGACCTGTCTTTGGAAGCAAGGACTACTTCCAGGGGCTGGCCATCATTCTTGATACCTACAGCAACCACAATGGTGCTCATAATGTAAGTTTCAGTGTGTATAAAAGTTGTTTTATTTTAATTAAGATAATAAAAATAACGTGGAGTTTATTGTTGCTGGAATACTGAAACGTTACTAAATTTTAAGTCGTGCTTAAATATCGTGCCATCTCTGTCATTTCACAAAGAATTAGTGGTGACAGAACTACACTTAAGCGTGACTTAAAATTGAGTAACGTTTCAGTATTCGGGCATGAGTGAAGTATGTACGCCTTTTTTATGGGATAAGCCGGTAAACGAGCAGACGGATCATCTGATGAAAAGCTATCGGCGCCGCCCATAGACACCTGGAACACCAGAGGCGTTGCAAGTGCATTACCGGCCTTTTGGGAATCGGTAATTTAAGGATTGTGGGGGATTCGGGGATTGGTTGGGCCTCCGGTAACCTCACTCACACGACGAAACACAACGCAAGCGTTGTTTCACGTCGGTTTTCTGTCAGGCCATAGTATCGCTCCGGTCGAGCCGGCCCATTCTCGGTTACCACCCAATATTTTTATGCTTGTCAGTATTATTACGACGTCTGTGTACTAGTACTCAGTGTAATATAGGCTCAACAGCATCAAAAATTGGAATAAAATAAGTAAACCCAAAGTATTAAGAGCTGTTTTTGCAACATCTTAATTTCGAGGCATAATTCTATTAAATCATTTTTAAATACCTGTCTATCATTGGTATTTTTTGATCATTTATAAGAAAAATAAAACAAATATTTTTTTTTAGCAATTTCCAGCTAAATATTTGTCTTTCTTCCCTCAGCACCAGCACCCGTACATATCGGCGATGATAAACAACGGGTCGCTCCACTACGACCACGACCGCGACGGCACACACACACAGATCTCCGGCTGCGAGGCCAAGTTCCGCAACTACAACCACGATACGCACATCTCTATTACTTACGTCGATGATACGCTTACTGGTAAGTCTACTACCATCTTCATGTCATGAGACAAACCTCCACAATCTCTCCAAACCGTTAAACCAGGATCTACAGCAGAAATTACTCAGACATCAAAGCTTCGAACACTGGTGTAAGGTTGCAAGCCTTTCAGTCTTCTATCGGATACATTTCAGGGATATTTTTCATACATTTTTATGGGATAAGCCGGTAAACGAGCAGACGGATCACCTGACAGTAAGCAATCCGCGTCGCCCATGGACACCTGGAACACAAGAGGTGTTACAATTGCGTTACCAGCCTTCTGAAATAAGTGAAATTGATCTCATGAAGATGCCTGCACTAGGACAATCCTTTATCGCAGGTGAAAGGACCTCTGTACTTAATTCTTATAGAAGGACATCTTATTTCTATAAACACAAATACATACTTATCATTATGCAACATGCACAAACCCAGTACTAATTATTGTTTTTTCAGTCCAATGCTAATTAACGTAATTTTGTTACAGTATCAACGGACTTAGAAGGCAAGAACGCGTGGAAGGAATGCTTCAAAGTGGAGAATGTGTTGCTACCGACTGGATACTTCTTCGGTGCGTCGGCCACCACCGGGGACCTGAGCGACAACCACGACATCATCGCCATTAAGATGTTCGAGCTCGACTTGTTAGAGGCTGTGAGTGCATTCTGTTATTGTTTTATAGCTAAAGAAGTTAAGGTTCATATTCCTACCTAAGTTTAACCCATTGAAATTCATCCCCTAAATTTGTTCATACAAAAGTAGTCTCTAAGCATTGGAAATAAGGTCTATGATGTAGGTGGTCGAGAGCGGTCACCGGTGACCGCTATGGGTTAGAGTAATTAAGTTGTGTTTTGCTTGTTTCTTTAGTTTAAAAACTACACAAAACGCTTATTAGTTGATGTACCGAGTTTTCTTATGGAATACCTATCTAAGAAATAACAAAAAGTATTCATCCAAATGCAATTCAAGAGATAATACAAAATAGTACATTATTCCATTATGAGAGCATGGATCAAGGTTGTGCTGCAAAGAAACACCTGCTTTCACCTACATAATTAATTAAACACAAAAAAATATCTCAACCTTCTTTTTACTTTTAGAAAAAATCACTAAAGACTAAACACACAGATTATTTAGACACCACTGACAAACGGTGAAAGAAAACGCCGCGAGGTAACCTGGGCTTATAATTTCCAATTAGAAGTTTGAAATCGCCAACCCACCTTGAGCAAGCGCGGCGATTAATGCTCAAACCTTCTCCGTATGAGAAGATACTTTGCTCAGCAGTGGGCATTTATAGGCTGTTGATGTGATACCAAACATAATTTTAATACCACATTTATTTTTACAGCAAAACAAAGACGAAGACCGTTCCCAAATCATTCCCTCGGCGGCATCATTCGAGGCTCCTCGCGAGAGGATCGAGGACACCAAACCAGCAATGTCAGGAGTTAAAACCTTCCTATATATGATGGCGATAGCCATTGTAATCATAGTACTAGTCGTCCTCGGCATCATGTACTACCAAAAGCGTCAAGAGCAAAGCCGAAAACGACTTTATTGAAGAAATAATAAAGCTTAAATTGGTTTCAATGACATTCCCATTGTTTTTTGCAAGCTTTCGGTTTTTTCTTCCTCAATGAGGGTAGTTGTAAAGTGTTTGCCAAAATTTTCTGTAATGTAATTGTAAATCGTCTCGAAGTAATGTTTATATGAATTATTCACATATGGAATGACAGCGACCTCTACAACTGTCATGTAAAAGAAAAGAGAAAGCACGATATGAATTGTGACGTCATCACTACAAAAATCCATTTGTCAGTGTAAGAGCGATATAACTATATTTTTAGGCGATTTTGGTTCCGTTAATATTTATTTGTTTTTTGCGTTCGTTCTATTATGCAACTACCCTGTTAACGTCAAGTATATGGTTTAGGACATTATTTATCATTTAAAAGGAATGTCTGAAGAGTACAGGTGATGTTTTTTTGCGGTGGTAGATTTATTACTGATGAGTGAGTGAGGTAGCGCTATACGCAAACGATGTGTTAGAAAGAGACAAACGTCTCTATTATTAAAAGGTACCAATTTAACGTTGTGTTAAAATTTAAGAAAGAAAAAGCAATATGGTTTTGTAATAACAATAATTTTATTGTTTATTTAAGTATTCATACAAATATAACACCAAGACTATTTATATTACAAATTATGAAACTTAAAAGACTAATTGTAACGATATTCTAAGATTTGTAACTCCAAATAAATTATCTTTTATGTATATTGTACAAAACTTAAAAACTATAAAGAAGACAGAAATCTGTCACTAAGAAGTCAGATTAATTAATGGATTTTGAACCCTATTACAGAACCGTAAGGGTTGAAAATCTATTGAAGAAATACTAGACTTTGCGACCGATTAGTCTTTATCAAAGTTAGGTTTTGTGCTAATAATACCGTAGTCCAGTTTATATCCCAAAACAAAGAAAAAATTAGTGGGATTCTATTTATTTTGTAAAGGAAAGGCACTCAAGTCCCTTTCAACAAATTGAAATTGTACCAAATGATTATAAGTTAGAAATATACTTACAATATAACAACTCAATGCACGATTTGACGATTAAAGTCACATCACCACACAGCACTTTATCATCTGTGCAAAGACATAAAATTAAAAGTAAAGTGACCTGTCAAAACCTGTTTTGTCAAATCACGGCCCCTGTAAAGTATGTTTTCAGCCTTATTTTCACATTAACCTAAAGACGCTAAACGGAATGCAATTTTCAACCTTATGCTAATCCATATAAGAATTTTTATTTATTCAAAGAAATCTCATGACAACTAGATTTTTGGTTGTTTGTGGTCATTTATTGTTTAGGTTTTAATATCATCGTAGTCATTGAATAGCTCAAATATGGTTATAGACATAGAGGATGGTATGTCGTCCTCTTTTATGGTTTCACTTCAAAGACTAGTTTTGCAAACTGTTATTAGGCTTTTCGCTTTCAAATTGTGTATTTAAATATTGGGTTTATGAATAAAAACTGTTGAAAACTCGTATGTGACTACGTAAAAAGTTAGACACAAAGCTAAATATTGGTAGTCGCGGAGAACCTAACGGGTAACCGGGGCTCCGGCTCGACGTGCAGGAGAAGGAACGGGGTGGTTTTTAGTCAGCAAGAGTCTGACACTCCCTCCCGCCTCACTCAGGCGGGAGCAGTTATTCGATGATTTTCCCCCCTTAAAAAAAAAAGCTAAGTATTGGTCATTAGTTTTGTCTCCTGGAATCATGAGAAAGTTAATGAAGTGTTAAAAATCAATTGATGTTCCTTCTGAATTGACTTCCAAGATGTTACACGATTTCGAACTTAGTAGGTACTGAATAACGTATATTTTCCTATCGATTCAAAATTTGAAATGAAAGTCAACTGAAACCATATGCGAATAAAGTCGCTTTTTGTCCATTCTCTTTGTCTATTTACCACAGACTTAAAGTTATTTTATTCTAAAGTTTGACCGCATTTAAAACATTGTAATTTGAGGTCTATATCATAGCAATAAAAGTTTATTTTCAATAATATAGTTAGGTGTAGATGTCCAAAATACCAGATAATTTAAATGCAGTCTTACAGGCTATATTTATTTATGTAGTATTTTAAGTACATTAAAATATATCAATTCTGTTCGCTATGCATCGAGTTTTATAAAACCAATATACAAGGTGTAGTTTTGAAACCGTGTCATTTCTCGGGGGCATGTCACAGAAACAACAGAGAAAGTTTCGGGCCAATAGTTAAAAATACGGCTATAATAAATCGTAAGTTCGACAGTATTTCAGAATTGGATTGGAGTTTTGAGTCTTTGTGTGTTAAGCCGCGTTATAAAGATAGTTACAAGACGGCGGCGTGTACTTCGCACTTACGGATTTCCGTAATTTGAAGTTATTTCAGAAAAGTGAATATTTACCTACAATTTTTTTATGGATTCGTACTCAGAATCGATAGCCGAGTTACCTCTTAGAAAATGACGCGGCTTTAAAACAACACCTTGTATTATGGTCTACCTTCGTATGACCTTTCTGCACATTTGACAGTCAATTCATATTGGTTTTGCACAGCTTTATGTGTGTAGGACAGAAATGATACAATCATACATTAAATATGTATAGTCATTATTTTTATTGCTTATTCTTGCTCAGTATATCAAGAAATACTATTTATACTTTTTCTCTATGTTATCATAAGTTGAAGCTATGATCAATATCAAACACAAACTATTAATAAAACATTAGCGCCGCCATATTGACATCGTTACAGAAAACTGTTTAAAATTTCGAATAGTCTAATGATTATAATTTTGGAGTAACAATGTTATGTCTACATTTTGCTCATTAGTAATTATGTTTATACGAAAATGCGTCCATCACAAGTTAAAATAGAAATTAAGAACCTTTATAAAATTTATGGTCAATTTATACACATTGTTTAATTCAACTTCGAACTTATCAGGACTTCATAATGTTCAAATTCAGCTAAAAAAAAACAAATGAGTTTTGAAAAATGTTCTTTTACATGTTTTTGTAAAATAGCATAATTGAAGTTTGTTATTATTAAATATTAATAATTTATCTTTAAGTTGTTTACATTTGAACGATTTTCCACACGAATACTTGCATAGTTTTTACAAATTATGTGTATTAAGAAAATATTTATTTATATTATAATTTAGTTCCTTTTGAAATAAGTGTTGAAAATGGTTCATTTGTAACGTAATCATTAGTTTATCTGGACGAGTGATGTATGTGTGTTTAATAAAATATGGTTTATATAAACTTTTCATCGTGTGTTTTTATTTAAAAGCATATATACGGTCGAACGAATAGAGAAGCATCTCTTTTTGAATTTGGTTTACAAACAAGTAAGCATATCGCTTAATGGTATTTTCACCGTCTGCAGTTTATTAGCAACACAAGGACGTTGAAAAAAAGGGCCGGCATAATAGCACTTACAAATGATTCAAGCAAAAAAATTGATTACCACGTTACCAGACAAGAAAATTACAGATGACTTCGTGATGCGTGTATGTTCTGCCGCAGAACATGCAGAACTTCTGCGTGTGAACCTATAGTAACCAGGTGTAAATCTATAGTAACCCGGTGTAAATCTATAGTAACCCGGTGTAATCCATAGTAACCAGGTGTAAATCTATAGTAACCAGGTGTAAATCTATAGTAACCAGGTGTAAATCTATAGTAACCAGTTGTAAATCTATAGTAACCAGGTGTAAATCTATAGTAACCAGGTGTAAATCTATAGTAACCAGGTGTGAATCTATAGAAATCGTTGTTTCAAGAGACTGTCTGCCTTATTTTCAACGTCCTTATAGCAACACCAAATAAATTGCTAATGCGGTACTTTTAAATAGGAGTATATTATTTCTTAACATGCCATGCCTGCTTTCAAATGGGTTAGAAAGCTAGGTGATGAGCCTAATTTCTGGCGCGTGGTTTATGGCGCCCGCTTGATTCCGGAGTACCTATGTGGGTTCGTAACCTGACAAATATCAATGTGACTTCCTGAGGTATCATTTCCCAGCGTAATTAAAAGAGAGAATTATTTTAGTCATAAAATAATTATATAAATCACTATTTGGCTACGAGAAAAAAACCTAAGTTACGTTTTTAGGAGAGCCATGCTTCAAAACGAATGGGCCGGCTCGACCGGTGTGAAACCTCGGCCTCACAGAAAACCAACGTGATACAATGCTTGCACTGAGTTTCTTCGTGTGGGTGAGGCTTCGACGATTGCTTACTATCAGAGGGGATAATACGCGTTTGGCGCTCTGTGGCTGGCTCCGTCTGCTCGTTTACCCGTTTATCCCATTCCCTTAATAAAGAAGCATAGACAAATCTACGTCTTTGGACCACAAACACTATAATTAAAATGTCAAGGTTGTTGTTTGTCAAACAAACTGTCAATGTCAAATCAAACGCGATACGCGAAGCTTGTGGTGTTTTTTCATGCGCCTTGCGATTTATTGAGCGGAATATTTGCAATATCTAAATATTCCACCGTGTGTTATTAATTGTGAAATTAAAGGCATTTTGCCTTAACCGGTGCAAGATGATGGACGCAAAGTCATTTCTTTACTCTTGGTGTGCTAGGAAAGGATTTACGCCGGTTTACGATATCCGGGCTACGGGTATGGAAAATTACCGCTTACTATTTTTTTTCTTATTCATACAAAATGTACAGATTACTGACTCGTTATTATATATTTATCTAGACGCTACATTGATATACTCACGAAAAAAATGTTATGTATGCTTGTATGTTGATACGATGCGAAAATCGATAAGTTTGTTTTACCTGTACAACTTACTCTTGTATTCATCATAGCAAACAAATACAAACAAACAAACAATGATATCTCAAGACTACATACTTCCGTTGTATACCTTTCCCCAATGTCCTATTTATTTACGAAACTTTTTACTTTACATAATATTTTATATTTTAAAAATATAACCTCAACTTTATAGGACCAAAACATCGTCAGCGGTTTCTATGTGAAGTTCGTGTGGGTACAATCACTTATGTTGGGGCGGGAAACTCAACTACGAAGAAAGATGCGCAAATGAATGCATCTAAAGACTTTGTTAGTTACCTAATAAGGTCCGGAGAGGTAGATGCGGACGAAATACCCGAGGAGACAAGGGCTGCTGTTAACATTGAAGAAGATAACAAAGCTGGTGGAAGCTCTAAACAGCAGCAATATCAACAACCGAAACCTGTGTTTCAGGTTTGTAAATTACTTAAGATAACTTTTATAGGATTTATTCATGTGTGGAGGCGGACAGACATCAAAATTATACAATTATTTAAAATTAACATAACATAACATCACACCTTTTATCCCCGAAGGGTTAGGCAGAGGTGCCCATAGAAGTAACACCCACTTTTCACTATTTATGTTATAAGTCCCATGTAATATTATTGTATGTCATTTAAGATTAATTATCTTAAATGACATACAATAATTATCATTGTTTATTTATCTCAATAATATAAATATTTTAGTTGATTTATAGTATCAATGCTTTAATTTTACTTAAAATCAATTTAATTTTTGCCTAAAATTGACTGCCTCGTTGTCTGAGTGGTCACAAGTGCGACTGCCAGGCAAGGGGTCTCGGGTTCGATTCCCGGGTCGGGCAAAGTATTACTGGGTTTTGAAAAAATTCTCAGTAGTAGCACGGAGTCTGGAATTGTGCCTGGTTTATGGCAATAGGCTCACCGCCTATTACATGGGACTCATAACATAAATAGTGAAAAGTGGGTGTTACATTGTACAGTCGCATAATGTGCACCTCTGCCTACCCCTTTGGGGCTAAAAGTCGTGATGTTATGAAGTTATGAATCAGTTTAATTGCATCAGTGTTGTAATTATTTATATTTTCTAATGTTTATTAGGAGGGTATGGGTCCTGAAATGATGGGTGAAGCGTACCAAGCTTACAGCGGCCAGAACCATTCCTCAAACTTTACATACATAGACCGCATGCAACAACAAAAGAATGTTGAAGAGGCCGAAGAGATGGATATCAACGCAAGCCTTCATGGAAACTGGACAATGGAGAATGCAAAGTCCAAACTTCATCAATTCTTGCAAGTCAATAAGATTAACACGGACTATATGTATAAAGCTGTTGGTCCGGATCATACCAGGTTTGTTCATCATTTTTCTAAGTCTGGGCTACTTGCTTATCATTGCTTATTTGCTGACACATTGGGTGTTAGCTATCCATCGACATTATTAATTGAAAAAATCTTTGATACATTAATTATTTGTATTTAAGAATATAGGCTAAAAATTACTTTTTAAGTATCTTCTATTACTGTTTAGCTTATTTGTTCGTCATTTACAACTTTTTTTTATCATGTTCTGTAACAAAATGAATGTTAATGAGACACAAGATAATTATTACTCATCACTGGAAAAATTTCATTCACATTAACATTCCCCATTTCTGCTTTTTGCATTCTCACCTATTCATATTTTTTAAACTTGATTTTTTATTATTATTATTCTGTAGAAATGTTAATGTTTATGCTTACCTACCCAAGCCACTGATTATTCATATAGTACAAATGAAAAATCAATGGCTAACAATATCACTTAGTCTACCCTGGAAGTGTAGTCAAGTAATATTTATTATTATAATATTATTTATTTTACTGCTGGCAATACTTATGGTTAAGTTCAGCAAGGTTTACAATTAAGATTCACCAGTAAACTAACAATAAGTGTTACCAGCAAATAAAAAAAATAGAAACTGCATTTGCAAATTTTTATATGCAAAAGCGGCTTCATTATTAATTTAAGGGCAACCACAGAGAATAAATCCAAGACAAGTTTAAAAATAGAAACAATATTCTCTTTTATTCTTGATTCGTAAAAAGAAAAAAACTAAAAGATCATAAATATTATGTACTATCTACAAATTCATGTCTCAATGAATCTTTTTGTGACTGTGAACAAATGATTCGTAAATTATTATTTTATAGAATTCACTCACAAAAGTGTAAAGATAACTATGAAACTTTTAATCAAATTATCTACATACAGTTCATAATAGACTTTTAGCGTAATTAAAACTAAAAATCGCGCGTTACTCACGTGAACATACTGAGAAAAGCTCTACTAGTTTCGAGCCATAGAGTAAGCTGCGCAATATCGCCACGACAGCGAACTCTGCTCATGAAGAAGAGCCCCTCTGTGGCTCGAAACTAATAGAACTTTTCCTAGTATATTCACGTAACCCGCGATATTTAGATAATTTATTATCTGTCACGATAGTTATTATAAAAACAGACTTCAAGCTATTGAAATACTATTGAAAAATAACAATTTTATAGCTAAAAGAGAGCTATTATCATACATTATTGTTTACAGTTTTTTATTAATGATGAACAATGTATAATAATATTATTATACGTTTACAAATATGTACATCACAGATGATAATAAATAAGTCTTGGATTTTGTTCTCGAAACAGGTGTGTTTGAGCTCTTTATACTGACTGTACTTGGCTACACTTCCAAAATGTTACCAAACCGTGACCACTAGTCAACAAAGAGGTAAGTTTATGTGTTTTCAAATTTTTTTTTAATGATTTTTAATATCCTGGGGTACTTCTTTTTAATATGTTTAGTGGTGTAATGAAATGTTGCATGTTTCCTAAAGCTCTTGGTATACATACAATAGGGATGATGACAGGGTGTGAAAATTGAAAATGTAATTAGTGTGTCAGTTAGGTAATGAAAAAATATTAGACACGTATTTTTTTTTTTTTGTCACACAATACTGAGATAGAACGAATCAATGTTTAGGAGTGAGGTCTTTTTTTTAAGAGGGAAAATCATCGAATGACTTCTCCCGCCTGGGTGAGGCGGGAGGGAGTGTCAGACCCTTACTGGCTAAAAACCACCCGGTTCCTACTCCTGCACTTCGAGTCGGAGCTTCGGTAACCCGTTAAGTTTTTCGCGGCTCCGAATCGGTATCAACCCTATTGGGCCCATCCGTGGTGGTCTGATGGCTCTTCGAGGCGCGCGCGGAACGCGACGCGCTGTACGCTCGGGTTAGGAGTGGGGGCTAAAACGTCATTTCTACGTATAAAAAGTACTTAGAAATGACGTCACGCGATATTTAAAATCAATATATCGTCGAAAGTATTTGTTTCAGTAATAAAAAATACGTGTCTAAAGTTTTAAAAAAATACCAGACGGGCATTTTTACAACTTAATCAGACCTACTGTCATTCTTTTACAGGCACTTTACTGAATTGACAATGAAATGCCTATTTGATACCTAATTTCGATTTATCGCTAACTAACTCAACTTCAACATCCACAAAAGCAACTATTATCAATAATCAATTCTCTAATTACAAAATTACAGGAGTTTCTCATGTGAGATGTCTATATTCGTCCGTCAACTGGGTCGTAATGTGACCGGACGTGAGACCGCATCAAACAAGCAGACCGCTAGCAAATCATGCGCGCTCTCTATCGTGAGGCAGCTGTACCATCTCGGTGTGATTGAGGCCTTCAGTGGAACTTTGAAGAAAGACAGGTATATTTTTGTCTATATTTTATTAATGTGTGTCATTTTTCTACGGCTCTAAGGTTGAAAATGCTCTGTACTTTTTCTAAAATGCGTACTTTAAATCTTAATTTTTGTTGTAGGTCATCTGAAGGTATTATGAAGCCCTACCCTGTGGCTCTCAGCCCTGAATTGGAAAAGCAACTAGAGGAAACATTAAATGGTGAGTGAATAATATGTCTTCATTGCATTAAACTGTCAAACACCGCGAGCACACCGGTGACCGCAACCTATTCTTCTTTAATTGTGTCTATAATGACGGTACTCAAAGAATTAATAATCCACTGCTGGACTGGAGTAGTTTTACCACTTCAAAATCAGCCTACTAATTGAACGCGACTAAGGTCCATATTCATTCTTGAATTCCAACTTCTGTTAGCCACATAACGGATATTGTTAAATCTCCAAGCTTGAAGGCGCCCAAAACTGAATAGTAATTGCAATGAATAGACCAACAGTGTGCCAGCACAGTTACTGGATTTAAGTCCAATAGAAAACTGTTGAAGGCAAATCCCATGGCGTTTAATGTGTTACATTCACAAAAATGGTTAATATATGTATGTACATCTTGTTTTCTTTATAGAATTGGAAATCGAGCCAGTAAAAATAGACCCGAAGCTGACGTATACAAGCGAGGAAGGAGGCGCGGGAGGTCTGACTCTCCTACAGTTGGACCGTGTAAAGGCCATGCGTGAGGCGAGGCAGTTCCCAGCTGGAGTGGTCTCCTGGTCCCCGCCACAGGCCAACTGGAACGCCTGGACTGGGTGTAATATTGGTAAGTTTAATAAAATTATTATTTTGATTAACCTGAGCCATTTTTTGAGTCTTATTGTGATGTAACTTTAAATTGCTGTATAAATTTTGATGGGTTTGTGTGCACACGTTGACCTTCCAGATGATTATAATCTATTGGGATACCTATCTGAAACTACCTTTTATTAATAACTTAGTCTAATCAGTTTTTGACTGCCTCGATGGCCGAGTGGTCGCAATTAAGTGCGACTACCGGGCAAGGGGTCTCGGGTTCGATTCCCGGGTAGGGCAAACTACTAATGGTTTTTTTAAAAAAACTCAGTAGTAGCATGGAGTCTGGAAATGTGTCCGGTATATGGCAATAGGCTCACCCCCGTATTACATGCGACTCATAACATAAATAGTGAAAAGTGGGTGTTACTTCTGTGTGCACCTCTGCCTATCCCTTCGGGGATAAAAGGCGTGATGTTATTTCTAATCAGTTTTTAACTGGTTTTAGATTGTCAATACATAGTTTTGTCAATGTTTGATAACCTGCACTTTGCATATACTTCAAAGTAATTTTATTGTAAACAGATGAAGGTCCACTGGCCACCACTAGCTTGGAGGAGATCAGTTCTGACTTGGAGAAACATCACAGGGACATGTGTCAGAACAGCACTCTGTATCAGGTTCGTATAATTTTTACTAGCGACCCGCCCCGGCTTCACACGGGTACAATATTCATGTATTATACATATAAACCCCAATATTTGCATGCCCAACGGGTAGATCAAAGAGATACAATATGTAACAAAAATAAATAACACCTTAGGCACTAATTATGTACTACACCTCTGTTCAGCAAATAAAGACATTTGATTTGATTCGATAAACCTTCCTTAAGAATCACTCTATCGGATTAAAAAAACCGCATCAAAATCCGTTGCGTAGTTTTAAAGACCTAAGCATACATAGGAACAGACAGACCGCGGATACCGACTTTGTTTTATACTATGTATTGATTTTAATAAATCTCATACAGTCTTTAAAGTTGCATACAAACTTTAAATCTGTATACTTTAAAGTTGTTAACACATTGATGGCTTTAAGTAGACATACGACCTGATCAACATCTCAGAAAGCTGCTGGATACAGATCGCCTCCAACCGGCCTATTTGGAAGTCATTGGGAGCGGCCTATATACAGCCGAGGATGTCTTGTGGATGATGAACAATAAATAAGATTGAAATTCATATGTTATTAATTTATCTAACAAATATTTTTAGGAGAGTCTCCAAGAAAGGGAACAACTGCCAGTATACTCGATGAGGACTCAAATCATGGAGGCTATCAACGAGAATCCAGTAGTCATCATCAGAGGCAACACTGGATGTGGTAAAACTACTCAGGTATGACTCAATACAATATTATCTTGCAATATGCATTTCTATCTCGACTGTGCAAAAGAGGATAGTAGTTTTTTTTATGGCATAAGCCGATAAACGAGCAAACGGATCACCTGATGGTAAGCAATCGGCGTCGCCCATGGACACCTGGAACACCGGAGGCGTTACAAGTGCGTTACTGGCCTTTTGGGGATTAGGAGTTTGAGGATCGTTGGGGATTCAGGAATTGGGGAGATTGGGGAAGGGGAGGGCAATTGGGCCTTCGGTAACCTCACTCACACGACGAAACACAACGCAAGCGTTGCTTTACGTCGGTTTTCTGTGAGGCCGTGGTATCGCTGCGGTCGAGCCGGCCCATTCGTGCCGAAGCATGGCTCTCCCACACTTAAGTATTTAGTTTTTGTCCCTATATGCTCTGATTCGGAACCTTTTGAACTGCATTTACCAATCTGCTTTCCAAGAACGGAGAGTATGTTCCCCTCTGATATAGGAAATACCCAGAGTGTACCAGTAATCTGTTACTGATGGTAAGCAATCAGCTCCGCCCATGGACACATGCAACACTAAAGGCCGATTTTTCAATCGTCATTTAATTCTCAACTGTAGAATAACATTAACATTTGACAGTATGGAAAAATTATCAATTATACGGTTTAAGACATTTGTTTCTCAAAAACAATTTACATTAACTTGATTGACAAATACAAAATATACATAAGTAGGTACAGAATGCGAATCAGTGACCGAAACAATATATCCGTATTTATGAACAACCAAAATATTACATTAAGTACATACTTAAAACATACACTATAAAGTTATTTTGAGTAGTCGAGGGTAATCTTAAAAATATTGGGTCGAGAATATCAAACATTGTGTTTTTACTAATAGGAATTTGCAATAGCAATCTTATTACGTATCGAAGATTTGAAACACATTAGTTACTATTACAGATGTACAATAATAATTCTGTTATGGACCAATACCGTGCCACACTTTTTTAATTATTCAAAGTTATTCCTTAGTTAAAATGAATCTTGTGTTTGAAAAATCGGCTCTATAAGAGTTACAAGTGCGTTTTCGTCATTTGAGGGGAGGAGGGGTGGTTAAATACAAATAGATACCTAAGTATATTTTTTTTGTAGGTATGCCAATTCATCCTGGACGACTATATAGCGAGTGGCCAGGGCGCGTGGGCCAATGTATGTGTGACGCAGCCGCGACGTATCTCCGCCATCAGTGTCGCCGAGCGAGTCGCGTCAGAACGCTGCGAAGATCTTGCTAATAGTGTCGGGTAAGTAAAATTAGAGAATTATTATGATAATTCAATAAATTATAAAATAAATTAATATTATTTCAATATATATCAAAAAATTATAAAAAAAAGTAGAAGCACGGAGTCTGGAATTGTGTCCGGTACATGGCAATAGGCTCAATCCCTATAACATAGGACTCATAACATAAATAGTGAGAAGTGGGTGTTACGTTGTACATTGACATTAAGGACTGACCTCTGCCTACCCCTACAGGTATAAAAGGCGTGATGTTATGTTATTCAATAATTCATTTTGTAATGGATTGTTTATTTTCTTCTTAACCCCAAGCTTTTCTTTCCTAACCCTAATCTTTTCCCCAAGCAATCACCGGTAACCACTCTCCACTAACTACATTATAGACCTTATTTCTGATAATTAGAGACTGCTTTTGTACATACAGGCATATATGTACAAAAGTAGTTCCTTTATTTTAAATCAATGAAATTATTCTGAGATATTAACACTTTTTTCCTTGTATCTAGTTACTCAGTGCGTTTCGAGTCGATGCTCCCTCGTCCGTACGGTTCCATTATGTTCTGTACCGTCGGAGTACTGCTGAGGAAGTTGGAGGGAGGGCTGCGGGGAGTCAGCCATGTACTCGTTGATGAGGTATGTATTAACAATACATTAATACATAGAGTTTGTTTAACGAGCAGACGAATGACCTGATGATAAGTACTCGGCATCGCCCATTTACACCTGGAACACCAGAGACATTACAAGTGCGTTACTGGCCGTTTAGGAATTTAAAAAATGTCGGGGATTCAGGGATCGGGGATATTGGTGAAGGGGGGGAGGGTGTTAGTTGGAATTTGCTAACCTCACACGTCGAAACACAACGCAAGCCTTGTTGTTGGTCCTTAAGTTCGTCGGATCATATGATCACTAGTGGGCAAGGGGACTTAGTGTGCAATTTCCAGGTACGTGATAGTATTTTTAAGGAAATTAATTTGTTTTTGGTAATCTGAATAATGACACGAAGTCATTGTTTTGCGAGACTCTCGCCCGAATACTGAAATGCTTCTCAATTAATCGCGTTTGAGTATAGTTCTGTCACAACAAATTCTTTGTAAAATAACAGAGATGGCACGATATTTAAGTACAAGTTAAAATTGAATAGCCTTTCAGTATTCGCGCGTCTGACTAGTAAAAAGTGTATGAAATTATATACTCGGAATTTTAATTCGATTCCAGATTTGACAATTTCAGTGTGGCAACGTTATGACAAGTACTAAATAGTGACGTTGCGAAATTATTCGATATAGAAATGAAATATTTCTGGATCGATTCTTCTCGTTTATAATAATTATAATTTTACTCTATAAGTATATCAAGAAATTAAATATTTCTGAACCGATAGTTTAGTTTTGACGATTATTTACGATCTGAGACGTTTCTTTTATAATTGTGTGTGAAATAAATAAAAAAATGTAATCATGAAGGAACATGACAAATAAAACAGATAGATGTATTATGGTAATAAGTTATTTTATAAATTGTCACCGTCATCGCTATCGCTATCCTGTCACTTTCTGTAACATTTATTATAAAACACACACACTGATTGTTTATCGATTTTTGTGTGCATCACTACACTATTATATGTGGTATCATTATTTCACAAAATGACAGTAGCTATTGTCAAATCTGGAATCTAATTAAAATTCTGACTATAGAAGTTATAATTGGCTAGTTTCCTAGGTTTAAAATAAATTGTTTCAACATTTCAATGCAATAAATAATTAAAGAATAATCATACTCTCAACCATTGATTGACAATTTACCTACTTTTGAATTTATTCTCGCTAATTTTAAGGAAATAAGTGTGCTGTTTGAAGCAGAAATATGATGACGTCATAAGTTGCGATCCAATACAAAATTCATAGAAAAGTGTCGATTTTGACATTTCAATAAAAGTATTGAATTTGACTACCTGTCAACTACCGTATTGTTAACATTGCTTTTTAACAGGTACACGAACGCGATGCAGACACGGACTTCGCGCTCATCTTACTTCGTGACATGGCGCACACATACCCGGAGCTACGCATTATACTCATGTCTGCCACAGTCGATACCACGCTGTTTACTTCTTACTTCGGAAACTGTCCTGTTATTGAGGTAAGTGGTAATAATTATTAATAGACTTATTTTTTTAGTGGAAACTTTCGTAATAACAAAGTGAAGTGATTGACATTGAAGTTTTGTTTTGCGCAATGTCTCGTGTTTTGCGCTTTATTGCGCAAGAACCTTTTTTACTCACATAAGCTCTGATAGTCTTAGTTTAAATCTACAATCTACAATTATCTGTATTATTCTATGTGCAGTAAAGTATTTGTAGCTGTAAATAACTGCCTCGTTAGCCGAGTGGTCGCAATTGCGACTACCGGGCAAGGGGTCTCGGGTTCGATTCCCGGGTCGGGCAAAATATTACTGGGTTTGAAAAATAATTTCAGTAGTAGCAAGAAGTCTAAAAATGTGCCCGGTATATAGCAATAGGCTCACCCCTTAATTACATGGGAGTCAAAACATAAATAGTGAAAAGTTGGTGCACTTGTGTGTTACTTCTGTGTGCACCTCTGCCTACCCCTTCGGATCGCGATAAAAGGCGTGATGTTATGTTATGTTATTTGTAAATAATTACAACTCTATTTCATTCGAGATGATGCTAACTTTGATCAATACTGCTTTGATTGAAACGAGTAGAAAATAAAAAATGTGTTCTTTAACACTACGCAAGACTACATCTTCTTTTAAATAATTTTAATATGATAAACTTCAACCAAAATTGCTGTCGGTAATACTTTGTAAGCTACAAACCTTCCTTCACTTTAGGGATAAAGACAAATGTATTAAAAAAATAACTAATTAATTGTACAGGTACCCGGTCGCACGTTCCCTGTAAAGCAATACTTCCTAGAGGACTGTATAGAGCTGACTCAGTTCGTGCCGCCGCCTGACATGCGCAAACGCAAGCACTCCGGCAAGAAGACTGACGGACGCGGGGAAGATGAGGAGGAAGAAGAAGGTACACTATGTTCTTTCATATATTCAACTTATTATTTACTAGCTTTTACCCGCGGCTTCGCTCGCGTCACAAAACATAAAAAGTAGCCTAAGTGACATATTATACCAATACACACAGCGCCATCTATGCCAATACTTTTGTTTTCCCTCGAGAATATCAATTTTTCTGGGATAAAAAGACCCTATCATTTAATCCGGACTTCTAACTTTACGTCTGCAAAAATTCAAAGCAATCAGTTTAGTAGTTACGGCGTGAAAGCGGTACAAACAAACAAACAAACTCGCTTTCCGATTAATAATATTAGTAAGGATTTCAATTAATCTACATACAGAGTTTTTGAAACGTCATACCTTTAATTTTTTAAGTTGGTTAAAGATAGAATTAGTAGTAATCAGTCCGTCTGTTAGTCTAGCTAGGAGCTTGTTATACTTTAATCTTTAATACGCTGTTCCCTAGCTCTCGTTCACTAGTGGTCCACTAGGGGGCTACTGTATTTTCTTTCTCCAGATGTCGCTAGTGTGAACTTCATCTTACTCATATTCGAACCAAAAAATACGGTAGTCCCTATAGCATACTTTCCTAAATTTTATTTTAATGTCTGTCTGGTAGATTAATTTAAATATTAGACACGTATTTTTTCTTTTCTCACAAAATTAAATACTTTCGACGATATATTAATTTGAAATATCGTGTGACGTCACAGCGTGCTACATTTTGTGGCACGATGTGACGTAACTATTTCCCACTCTTAACGCCATTTTATCTTTGTAATTTTATATGATGAAATAAATAAATACATGTCTAAGACTGCCTCGTTGGCCGAGTGGTCGCAATTGCGACTGCCGGGTAAGGGGTCTCGGGTTCGATTCCCGGGTCGGGTAAAGTATTACTGGGTTTTAAAAAAAATCTCAGTAGTAGCACGGAGTCTGGAACTGTGCCCGGTATACGGCAATAGGCTCACCCCCTATTATATGGGACTCATAACATAATTAGTGAAAAGTGGGTGTTACATTGTACAGTGGTATAATGTGCACCGCTGCCTACCCCTTAGAGGATAAAAGGCGTGATGATGTTATGTTACATGTCTAATATTTTTTCATGATCTTACCTGACGGACTAATTAAATTTTTAATGATCATACCCTGGCACCCTATTATTTTGTAGGCTTTATTTATAACAACCATTCGGTTGTTACTTAATCGCTTTACATGCTACATTCGCTACATATAAAGCTTTAAAGTACTTATACAGTAGGTACGTAGTGATTTCTTCTTCATTTCGCCATGGTATTATTTTCCTTGATACATATACGCATATTATGAAGTTTGATGTAGAAACTCATTATTCAAAGTTCTATGCATTTTTCTTGCTTGACAAAGGACCGTCAATAATTGAAACTGCAAGTGAGTATACTAGCATTTTCATATATTTTTAAATCTACAAACTTCTACATACATAGTCGCGTTTTTATTCCATAATTCATCATCATCAGCCTATAAGTGGCTACTGCTGATCTATGGCCTCTTCTTACACGGAGAAGGTTTGAGTATAATCACCACGCTTGCTCAATGCGAAATGGCAATTTCAAACTTATAATTAGGTATTATAAGCCCAGGTTTCACGATGTTTTTCTTTCGCCGTTTGTCAGTGGTGTCTAAATAATCTTAGAACGTACATAAAACTCGGAAAAAGTCACATTAGTACTTGTCGTTGGTAGATTTCGGCTCTGCACTCTCGTGCAGGAGGAGCAGGCATCTCAGACCGACTGATTGAGGATTTTATATATATTTTATTTTATTGTTTCCCAGCTAACGAGGATCAGGAAGAGGACTTGAACAAGAACTGTCAGCTGGCCTCCACTTACTTACCCAGTACTAGTCAGACCATGTCCAGACTATCTGAGAAAGATGTAAGTTTAACTCGTCGAGTACCGTATTTATAGTCACAATTAAAGAACAATAGGTTGCGGTCACCGGTGACCGCTTGGTGTTTGACAGTTTAATATTGCGTTAGTAGTCGCGGAGAATCTAACGGGTTACCGGGGCTCCGGCTCGACGTGCAGGAGAACGGGGGAGGAACGGGGTGGGTTTTAGTCAGTAAGAGACTGACACTCCCTCCCCCCTCACCCAGGCGGGAGCAGTCATTCGATGATTGTCCGCAATAAAAAAAATTGCGTTAGTAAAAAAAAAGACGCGATAGATGGCGTTTGGATAGCTTTTGGGGTCATTGTTTACAGTTATTTTTCTTCAGAGACCATTAGAAACATTGATAATGAGTTTATTAAGTTTCTTAAAAAATCTCGTGTGTCTTTACCATTTACGGGGCCACAGGGTCCTGGTTATTTAGGAGGCGTACGAAGGGTCGAAGCCAACTGCGCAGAGGCCCTTTAGACAACTTTAATATAAATGTAATGGACACAAAAACCAAGCGACCATCCCTGTATGCACTATGGAAATGCACACAGTTATATTATTACTATAATTCCCATTGTGAGAAAACACAAATTTTTTTTAAGAATCTTGAACCACAAAACTGCTTTTCAATCACTTACTAAGTTGTTTTATTTCAGCTAAGCTTCGAGTTGATAGAATGCATACTACAACACATTAGAGAAATGAAAGGCGACGGAGCAGTCCTAATCTTCTTGCCAGGGTGGAACTTAATCTTCGCATTGGCCAAACATTTGTCACAACACAAAGTGTTTGGCGATACATCCCAGTATGTCATACTGCCTCTACACAGTCAGATACCGAGGGAAGATCAGAAGAAAGTGTTTGTGACACCTCCACCGGGCTTGACTAAGGTAAGATGGTGTTTTAGACCTTATTGATTATATTATTCAGAGGAATTTCATCCCACGGACCCTCCGATTGTGGAATGAACCTGTCGTGGTTTTCTCAGTGGGCTACATATGGAGTTCTTCAAGAGGGGAGTGAATAGGTTTCTTAAGGGTCGGCAAGACGCATGTAATGCCTCAAGTGTTGCAGGCGTACATAGGCCACGGTAACCGCTTACCATCAGGGGGGTCGAGAGCTTTTTTGCCACCTACGTGGTATAAAAAAAATTTGCTTGAGTACTAAAAGCTATGTTAACTAAAGTTAGCTATACACGGAATGATAATTCGATTCCAGATTTGACAATTTCAGTGTTGCAACGTTATGACAAGTACTAAATAGTGACGTTGCGAAATTATTCGATATGGAAATGCAATATTTCTGGATCGATTCTTCTCGTTTATAATTTTACTCTCGTAAACTAAGTATATAAGGAAATTAAATATTTCTAAACCGATAATTTAGTTTTGACGATTAATTAACGATCTTAGACTTTTCTTTTATAATAGTGTGAAATAAATAAAAAAATGTAATCATGAAGGAACATGACAAATAAAACAGATAGATGTATTATGGTAATAAGTTATTTTTATAAATTGTCGCCGTCATCGCTATCGCTATCCTGTTACTTTTTGTAACATTTATTATAAAACACACACACTGATTGTTTATCGATTTTTGTGTGCATCACTACACTACTATATGTGGTATCATTATTTCACAAAATGACAGTAGCTATTGTCAAATCTGGAATCTAATTAAAATTCTGACTATAGTTGATGTTTGAGATTATTCGAACTATCATTGCCGCAACAAGCGGCTATTTTTTGATTAACTTGTATGAAAATCGTTTGTTACAAAAGCTGTTTCCATACTCTTTGGAGACGTTTGCTAGATTAGGGGTCTTTCGTCTTGCCGAATTTTTTTTAAGCTAATTATGTATAACAGACTCTTATATATTCTTTTACGTTTAAAGTAATAGAAACGAGACCGCGTTAGACACTTTTATTGGTTGGTTTATTGGAGCCGGCCAATGAGATCGCCGAACGCGTACTGGTTTCAAAAACCACTTACTATTACTACGTCATAATGTTGTAAATTAAAATGTGAATCTATCTTAATTATTTAAATATCGATGCAATCAGACTTCAAACTATACGAGAGGGCAATAAAATTAAAATCGAGTACTTTACCGATCTGTATCATCTTCCCCAGGTGATCCTCTCAACGAACATAGCAGAGACCTCAATCACGATCAACGACGTGGTGTACGTGATAGACTCTTGCAAGGCCAAGGTGAAACTGTTCACGTCACACAACAATATGACGTCATACGCCACCGTCTGGGCCAGCAGGACTAATCTCGAACAGGTAATATAGCATTCATAGTTCTAACATCAGGCTTGTTATACTTATACGGACATTGTTTGCAAAGTATTACAATTTTAGAGATGGCGTTATTTATGTATTGGCAAAATAAATAATAACATAAGATAATGCCACTGTACAATGTCACACCCACTTTTCACTATTTATGTTATGAGTCCCATGTAATAGGGGTGAGACCATTGCCATATACGTAGCACAATTCCAGACCCCGTGCTACTACTGAGATTTTTTTTAAAGACCTTTTAAACTGCTTCGTTGGCCGAGTGGTCGCAAGTGCGACTGCCGGGCAAGAGGTCTCGGGTTCGATTCCCGGGTCGGGCAAAGCATTACTGGGTTTTTAAAAAAATCTCAGAAGTAGTATGTTGAAATTTTTAGTGTTTATTTTAGAATCGGAGTCTGGAATTGTGCCCGATATATGGCAATAGGCTCACCCCCTATTACATGGGTCTCATAAAATAAATAGTGAAAAGTGGGTGTTACATTATACAGTGACATAATGTGCACCTCTGCCTACCCCTTCAGGGATAAAAGGCGTGGTGTTATGTTATGTACCTTTTAAACATTACTGAGTAATCGCCTGCCAGATGAGAATTAACACTTGTACAAAGAAGTGGTCGTTAGTCTACCATTTAAAGAAGTTGCCATTCATTAGTTTCAATATACATCAACAGCTATAAGTTGTTATTACATGTTACGTATGTTTTCAGCGCAAAGGCCGCGCAGGTCGCGTCCGGCCGGGCGTGTGCTTCACGTTGTGTTCCCGCGCGCGGTTCGAGCGGCTCGAGGAACATCAAACTGCTGAGATGTTCCGCACTCCACTACATGAACTCGCACTCAGGTATGTAGTGTTTATCCTTACTATATAATATTATAAATCGGAAAGTGAGTTTGTTTGTTTGTTCCGATTTCACGCCGTAACTACTAAACCGATTGCTTTGAATTTTTGCAGACGTAAAGTTAGAAGTCCAGATTAAATAATAGGGTACTCTTTATCCCGGAAAAATTTGATATTCCCAAGGGAAAACAAAAGTATTGGTATAGATGGCGCTGTATGTATTTGTATATGTCACATAGGCTACTTTTTATCCTTTTGTGACGCGAGCGAAGCCGCGGGTAAAAGCTAGTTTATAAATATTTTAAATGATATCACAATCGCGTCATCATCAGTCTTTACCATTTTCATCATCAGTTTTTAAATGCTCACAAATACATAAAAACATCACATCAACATCCCATAAGTGGCCACTGCTGACCAAAGGCCTCTTACGCGTATAAGGTTTGCGTATAATCACCACGCTTCCTCAATGCGCATTTGCGATTTCAAACTTTCCTTCGCCGTTTGTCAGCGGTGTATAAATAACCTTAGAGTATACATACATATAACTCGGAAAATGTCACATTGGTACTTGCTGTTGGTAGGTTTCGCACCAGCTCATTCATGAGAAGCGTGCGTCTAAGACCTCCGAGCCACCACAAGTGAATCCATAAAAACATGCCTAAATAAAAATACGATAGATAAGATTATGATACTACTATCAATATCACATGGTCTGTTTTTCTTTATGCCCAGTACAAAATAATAAAATTTAAAATATTATAGTGAGTTATGATAAAACTTAACATAATAAAACATTCCAAAACTTAGAAAACATTTATGTACTTTCTACACTCGTCACAAAAAATTCAACCTGTTTTTCAATGCCATTAACCATTTTCTCCTCTCCCCAGCATCAAACTCCTCCGCCTAGGTTCCATCGGTCACTTCCTGTCGAAGGCTCCAGAGCCTCCACCACTGGACGCAGTCATTGAGGCAGAAGCACTGCTTCGCGAGCTCGGCTGCCTCGACGGGGAAGACAACCTCACACCACTTGGAACTATACTCGCTAAGCTGCCTATAGGTACTGCTAGAAGTCTATTTGTCCTAATTTAACATAACATCACGCCTTTTATCCCCGAAGGGGTAGGCAAAGGTGCACATTACGGCACTTAATGCCTCTGTACAATGTAACACCTACTTTTCACTATTTATGTTGAGTCCGATGTAATAGGGGGTGAGCCTATTGCCATATACCGGGCACATATCCAGACTCCGTGCTACTACTGAGATTATTAAAAACCCAGTAATACTTTGCCCGACCAGGGAATCGAACCCGAGACTTCTTGCCCAGCAGTCGTACTTGCGACCACTCGGCCAACGAGGCAGTCCTAATTTGTCCTAATTTACTACATGATATAGTTGGTTTTAGTGCTGAAAGTAATAATAATAATATATGCTTTATTGTACACCACACAATCACATTATAGGATAAATATTAACAAAAATAGTGTACAATGGGCGGTCTTATCGCACAAGGCGATTTCTTACAGACAACCTTTGGATGGAGCAGTAATAGGAGTCTGATATGGGTCGTCAAGTGTACAATAATTAATAACTTTATAAAGTACTATACACATAATACAAAAATACAACTACAACTCAAAAAAAATGTAATAGATAAAAAAAAGTATTAGATTTTATGCACAAAACTTGACGCTTGCGAACCGTGATGGTCACTCTGTACCTAGATCAACATGTATGTTCTCGAAAACAACTGAAATGCTCAACTATATTCATGCATTCGATAAACTTTTTGAGACTATAAAACATATGTTTTATCTTTCGATCCTCTTGTAAAATCAATTATTTGATTAGTAACTTTGACTACTTACTCCTTCTTATAGGTCCACTCCACTTAGCTAAATTAAAACTACTATAAACATTATTACTTATTTCCAGAGCCCCGTCTCGGCAAGATGATGGTGTTAGGTTTCGTACTTGGTGTGGGTGACGCGCTCACCACTATGGCGGCCAACTCCACCACGTTCCCTGAGATATTCGTCGTCGAGGGTCGGAGGAGACTGTCCAACCATCAACGGGCGCTGGCGGGAGATAGGGCTTCCGATCATGTTGCTATGCTTAATGCTTTCCAGGTAAGTGTCCATTAGACTTTATGAGTTATTGTTTAACTGTATAATGTTTTGGCTTGTGCTGTAAAATTATACATGTTCTCATAAATTAATAAATAAATGAGGTTATCTTTCCGAAATTGTCATTCATTCAATTAATGAAGGCTAGAAGTCCACCTATGTAAGGCTTAAGAACTTAAAACTTGATGATAATGATTAAAAAAAGCACACAGTAGAATTGAGAACTTCCTCCTTATTTGAAGTTGGTTGTAAAGTATACGCCATATTTGTAGATGTGGGAGAGAGAGCATGCGAAGGGTGAGGAGGCCGAGTTAAAATGGTGCGAATGGAAGGGACTGCAGCAGACTACCATGAGAGTCACTTCTGAAGCCAAGTACCAGCTTACTAGTAAGTACATGTCATACTATCCGTAATTGACGTTCGAAGTGAACAGACGTGCTTAGTTGAAATATTGAAAACATGCAATAATAGTGACCTACTTTATTATTTTTCTTATTGTTATACCAAGTTTTAAATAATGGAAACACAAACTTAATTGTTTTTGAACATGGATAAAACCCCGAGTAATCTGGCTTCCTGTGCCTCACCATTAAAGAGCAGCCGTAATTCTGACTTCTCGATTGAAGCTGTGTCGACGCCCGATATTCAAAATTGGATGTCAAACATTGAAGACCAGTTACATGAAGTGTGTACTATTGCCACAGAGGGCAAACTTAATTCGGACCAAAAACTTAAGATATCAAATCTGAGCCGAAAAATTGGTGCTAACGTCTCGCAAATGGCTGTCCTATATCAAGCTCTGAAGCAGCAAGCTCGTATTGCCGTCAACATTATAGATGAGATGAGAGAAAAACAGGACCTTGTGGAACAAATTTCGGACATCAAACAGACAATCAAGGACTCGACATCAACAGGTAACGTTTCATTTGCTGATATGGTAAAGAAGGGGACTGACTTCGTGCGACCTAAGAATCTGACCTCTACTGCTATTTACCCACAAAATAAATCAAAAACTAGCGATGAAACAAAATGTCTAGTGCAAAAAATCATACGCCCTGACCAATTGCAGCTGCATGTGCGTGGTGTGCGTAAAATTCATAACGGAGGCGTTATAATTAGCACGGAGTCTAAAGAAGATGCAAAGAAAATTAAAGAAGCACTAGCTCTATCGTTATCTGGACTTATTGCCGATGAAGCCAAGAAAAGAAATCCGAGAATCACAGTCGTAGGAGTGCCTTCTGCTTTATCTGATGCTGATGTGCTCAGGTGCATATACGAGCAAAACATTGCTGGCAAGTTCCCAGAGTTGACCATGGAGTCCTTTTTATCAACTTTAAAGCTAAGTCATAAATCTGGCAAGAAGGACGCGCCGACTTGTAATTACATCATAGAAGTTACGGCCAAAATTCGAAAAGCCCTTATATCGCAAGAGAGACTCTATATAAACTGGACGTCTTGCCCTGTCAGAGACTTTACGTTAGTAACGCGTTGCTATAAATGTCAGCTGTATGGCCACGCGGCAAAGACATGCCGGGACCTCAACTCAGTGTGTGGCCATTGTGGAGAAGTAGGACACATTACATCCGCTTGCACTAAGAAAATAGATTTCCCTAAATGTTCAACTTGCTCTCGCTTTAATAAGCCCAACACTCACAGGACAGGAGACGCAGAGTGCCCAGCCAGGAAGATAGCCGAGCAAAGATATATTAATTCCATCGACTATGAAGGCACATAAAGTGATATACTCTAAGTCAGATTTGATTAGTCATTTCTTGTACAACATTTGCATATTAACAGGTTGGCTTACTCATCAATTTATTGCTGTGCAAGCACAATTGATCAAACTGTGACAACAAGTGAGTGACCGTATGGACTCTGACCTAGTTTTTTGTGTTTCTGTAGCAGCTTCAAAATACTCGACAGCATAGCGTGTAATTTTATCTAGTTCTCAATATAGCTTACGTGGTTTATTTAAGTCTATATGTTATGGATTATTAATAAATAACTTATGTAGGTACAACTTTTTATTCCCCTTCAGGGAATAATAAAAGGTGTGATATTTATGGGTATGTGTGTATGTATATATATATTAGATAGTATATTTATAAACAATCCTACCTTACTACTGAAAACTGTGTTAAATATTTTGTTTAAACTATACATAACTTGTCTTATCATTAACATAATTTTAGAGCTCCTGTCGCCTGTGTCACAGGAATATTCCTAGTATAGGCATATTAGTTTTTAAGATCTTGTCGCTTAACTAAGATATTTTTTGCCATTGTTGGCCATTGTTATTATGAATAAAGATTTATTTATTATTTATTATCACATATACTAATCAGAGGCATTAGTAATCGTGACGAGTACGCGTTCATCGCTTCGATTGGCCAGCTACAATTTATTTTTGACTATCATATAAGTAACTACCTAATTTTGAAATATTGTGACATTAAAGTCATATGTTTATCTCTGTAATGAAAATTAATAATAACTATTATTGCACAAATTGCTGATTTTAATGAAATTAAATATAATACCTATAAAATTTGGACATGGTCGCACAACATACTTATTTAACATCTTGCATATCTCATTACTCGGTTTATGTATACGCATGTTTTACAAATAAACAATCTTTCTTTCTTCCTTCTTTCTACAATGAACCAACCAATCACAGCGCTGAACGCGGTCTCGTTTCGACTACTTTTAACGTAAAATAAATTTGTACTAAGGCCTCTGTGTATGATTACAGTTTTTGTTTGCATGATAATAAGTTTAGCTTGTTGGATTATACTCATAAAATAACATTGAAACCTTTAAGTATCTCATTGTTCATATTATTTTTATTACGACCGTAAGGTTCTGGGGGAATTATATTTTTCTTTTCTTTTAATCTTTACACTAGGATCTTCTCTTGTGTCGTAGTTTACTAGTGGCGTGCTAATGATAAATTATTGTTTCCTTCCAGACATCCTGACCACGACCGTGGGTTTCCCCGAGGAGTGCTGCATCCCCCAGCGCTGGGACCCCACGGGGTCGGACCCCACGCTGGACCTCGTCATTGCACTCATGTGTATGGGGCTCTATCCCAACGTCTGTCTGCATCAGGGGAAGAGAAAGGTAAATTCCCGGGTCGGGCAAAGTATTGCTGGTTTTATTAAAATTCTCAGTAGGAGCACGGAGTTTGGAGTTGTGCCCGGTATGTGGCAATAGGCTCACCCCCTATAACTTGAGACTCATAACATAAATAGTGAAAAGTGGGTGTTACATTGTACATTTGCATTAAGTGCTGTAACGTGCACATCTGCCTACCCCTTCAGGGATAAAAGCGTGATGCTATATAATAAATAAAATTAGAGTGTCTGTTCGTAATATAAAAATAACCGGGTTTTACTTCATGCATATGAATGCTCACTCAAAAACATAATATAACTAGCTACTTCCGCGCGGTTTCACACGCTTTGCTCAGCTCCTATTGGTCGTAGCGTGATGTTTTATAGCCTATAGCCATCCTCGATAAATGCGCTATCCAACACAAAAAGAATTATTCAAATCAGACTTGTAGTTACGGAGATTAGAGCGTTCAAACAAACAAACAAAAAACAAACTCCGCTTTGTATAATAGTATAAGATTTAAACGCAATTCTAAACTCAATGCTATTTGTCCCAGGTGCTAACAACAGAAGGGAAACCAGCCCTAATCCACAAGACGTCAGTGAACTGCAGTAACCAGGAGCAAAGGTTCCCGTCCCCACTGTTTGTGTTCGGGGAGAAAGTCAGGACTCGCGCCATCTCCTGCAAGCAAACTACTATGGTCGCGCCGCTACATCTACTGCTGTTCGCTAGTAGGAAGGTCGAATGGGTATGTTGAAACTTTGTGTTTATTTTATTGTAAAAATACCTTAAAAATCGTGGAGTGGGCTAAGGGCTCCTGAATAAATCGAAAGTAGTCGGATATCTCCGAAGAATAAGCCGAACAATATTTTTTATTACTACACTTTTTATTTTATGATTTTACGTATCTTCAAGTTAGTTTTTTGTCGTTTTCTCTTTGAATATTAATTAATATTTATAAACACAAATGGCTATTTAACCCGTTGAGCGTCCACGTTCCTTAGGATCCAACGGGTGCACATGTGACATTTGGAGAAAGAAAGAAAGAAAACGCATTTATTTGGCTATTGGCACACGAAAACAAGGATCTATCAATAGAAATAAAAAAATACAGTCAAAATAAATACAAAACATTAATAAAGATTTTATAAAAGAGAAAGCAGCATGGAGCATTTTTTCTTATGATCCACCGGGTGCTCATAAGGACGCTCGAGGGGTTAAAAAAGAATGGTACGCTTGTCTTCTTTCCGGAGACATCTCTATGTGTTTTATATGGATCCTGTATGATGGATAGATGAGGCTAACTGGATGAAGGTGTTTTTAAACTTTACTATTCACTTTTTTAGATCGACAATGTGGTTCGTCTGGACAATTGGTTGAATTTCGAGATGAACCCTCGTTCCGCAGCGCTGGTGACAGCTCTGCGCCCCGCTGTAGAGAAACTCGTTGAGAGAGCTGCTTCGGAACCTGACGCAGCTTTGCACTTCACACCGCTTGAACAAAAGGTACGATTGGTGTAACAATAAAATCTTCAGCAATTAGGTTTCCGTGTTATATAATATATCAATATAAAATACTACTCGATTTCGATTACAGTTTTGTATTACCTATATAACTATCTGTATTTTTTTTACTGCCTCGTTGGCCGTATGGTCACAAGTGCGATTGCCGGGCAAGGGGTCTCGGGTTCGATTCCCGGGTCGGGCAAAATATACCTGGATTTTAAAAATTCAGTAGTAGGTCGGAGTCAGGAATTGTGCCCGGTATATGGCAATAGACTCACTCCTATAGTGCCTGGCAGTCGCATTTGCGACTCGGCCAACGAGGCAGTCAAGGGAAAGAGGAATATTTATTTTAGGAAGACGAGGAAATATTTTATTTTATTCGTACAAGTCTAGCAACTTCATATACCAAAAGTTGCAGCACCCTCAAGTGAAATCAACTGTAGGTTTAATTGTCTCTGTAACTTGGAGTCTAGAAAAAAATATGTATTAAACATGATTTTCTTTTGTCCAGGTTGTTGACTGCATAAAGTCGCTTTGCGTCATTGAATCAGGAGACTACAGGATCCAACGTGATATGGGTATAATGGCATTCAGACCAGACCCCGCCGTCAAGAGAGGAGGCAACAGAGGCTGGGGGACTAGCGGACCTCGAGGTGGAGGAGGATTTGGCGGTGGATTCGGAGGAAACAGAGGATTCGGGGGAAATAGAGGAAACTTTGGAGGCAACAGAGGAGGCCGAGGAAATCGAGGATTTTATGGCGGCAACCAATTCGGCGGCGGATTTGATGGTAACCAAGGCGGATTCGGCGGTGGCAATTTCGGAGGAGGCAATTTCGGGGGCGGCAACTTTGGAGGTTTCCAAGGAAATCAGGGAGGCTTCGGTGGCAATGATAATGGGTTTGGTTACGGCGGTTTCGGCAACCGAGGCGGTTTCAACCGTGGAGGCTTTAGAGGCCGGGGCAGAGGCAACTGGTGAACATTCCATTCCTTGATGTAATTAGTCAATTTTGTGATTTACGATGATAAGTAATAAAAATATTTAATTTTACTCTCGTTTATTTTATTTGAAGTACACTTGAACAACATTTCGACTAGTACAATGATTGTTATGTGAATGTACTACATTGAAAGTAACATAATAATGCATTTGATTAATAGCCTACTTAAAATTCCGCAGCTTCTGAATATTGACGCTCCCGGAAATCAGGGGCGGTTTACCATGTTATACCTTTCATCTACAATTTAGGACAAAGTTAATGCATAAATAATTTATTTTGCATAAAACAATAGCCTTCATAAACTAGATGCAGAGCGGCAAAAGAAACTAGATACAGAGCGTAGCAGGGGCGTAGCTAGCGCCGTATCTGCCATATCAATTATATGGGGCCCCCAATGTGTGTAAGCAAAAATACAAAAATTTTTAAATTTATATTTTATTTCAGTAATCACAAAATTCATGCGTTCAAAGGTTTGCAGAAACCATGGAATAGAGAAATCTATTCCATGGCAGAAACTTTGGAAAAACTAAAGTAGGTAACGTACCTAATCATTGTCCTATAATGGGCAGAGGAGGTATTTTATGTAAACAATCTCTTCTGAGAATTTTTTACCTTTCATAAGGGCCCCCAAACAAATTTCTATACGGGGCCCCGCCAAGATACGCTACGCCACTGGATCGTATTGACGCTCTACTACTAAGTGTAGTATAGTACGATCTGTACATATTTCTTTACCTTCTATAACATTCGAGCACTTGTAGCCCCAAATATGTAACTAATTGCAAAATTCTAATAATGTGCCAGTGTAAATGGTAAGTAATGTTGATGTATTACGTAACGCAAATTTAATAATTTAAAGGCACCCCACATAATAGAAGTAAATTTACTTGGAAACAAAATTAATTAACAGTACACCCAATACAATGGTCCGCCCCTAACCGTGCTAAACTAATAGCATTAGTACAACAATACCTACTAACGACAAAATAATTTGTTCGTCAAGCAATCTACGTATTTAGTAATGTAAAGCGAACAAACTCGCGGTTTTTAACTAAATTAAGCATAAAACTGGCCCACGAGCCAAGATCTTCTGTCATTCCACAGGATTTTGAACCACTATAAGTATAAAGTCTTTATCGGGAGCTACCATCACTTCACTTTTTTTACTGCGTATCCTCAAGAATGTCAGGTCATTTGTGGGATCCAGATCTCGTACTACCGCCTTCGCTTTGTCCACCAGCGAACTCATCAGCCCCGCGTACTGAACAGAAACATGATTTTCCAACGTTGTCTTGATCGGTATACCTTCACCGTTTACCACAATCACTCCTGCCACACCCTTGTGCATAGCAAGCTTGCGAACCGTTTCTTCGGCCTCATTTGCCATTTTTCACTTAATATCGACTCTGCAATGTAAAATCCACAAATTGTTGTCCGAAATCGAGACGTTAAATCCTTCAAATAATTACAAGCGATGTCAACTTTTTGGTGGCAAAAACTTGAAAGTTTGAATTCCGAACGAACGGCCAGAATATTCAAATAGCCCGCGAAAAAGAGGTTCGTACCAAAAACTTTTATTGCACAACACTCGTTTTATTTTATGGAGTAATATTTATAGCTCAATAAGTAGCAGCGAATGGTTTACTGGCATGTCACCGCTTGTGATTGATCTGTTTATACGTTGCCGTGTCGACGGGGAGGGGGCTGATACCGAGCTTTCCTACACCCTTGCCCCCGTGGGGAGACATAAATTCACACAAAACATTAGCCACGGCCATGCGATGTAAACTTTGAGAATGTAGGAAATATGTTGATTCGAAATTTGCATAAACGTATGATCGCTATTGATAGCATCGCGCCTGATTTTAAATTATGTTCATAAACTCTGTTAGTACTGGGAAAGCCGATCTCGTAAAAGCCAGTTATAGTTTTAGTGCTAAGCAGTCGCGTTTTCAATAGTTGCTATGCCTAGATTAACGATTCCGAATAGTCATAATGTATAGAATAAGGAATAAATACTAGACAAACTGATAATATCAGGAATTTTAGTCGGTAGGCAGGTACTAAACTTACCTCTAAACTTGTAAGTTATAAGCATGAAATGTTAATTATTAGACTAGTACCGTCATGGTTTAAAGTTTATGGGTCCGTAGTACCACAAATCTGATTTCTGAAGAGATTAAAATGTTCAGTATATAGGTAGGTACAAGGTACCAAAATAGGTTTAGCAGTTACCCTTTCAACCAGAGGGGCAGTGTGGTGTAATTTAGTTTTATGTGGTAAAAAGTAATGAAACAAAATTGTATTAAATAATTTATATTATTTAATAATTTTAATTTAAAAAAGTACAATATTAATATTTCTATTTTGAGTTTGCTGATTCAGATCTGCAAGAATCACCAAATTGTTACTGCAAAAAAAATTATTTCTGCATAAACATATCACATAGATCTTGTCTTTTTTTATGGGATGTCTTTCATTACTGCGACATAGAGATTAGTCACTTCGCAGTTTATAAGCCCAAGCCAGGTAAGAAAATACTTTATTGCACAAAATATATGGTGTCGCCCATATTATAATCCAACTCTCAACTCTCCGTGGAAATATCTTGTCCTTGTTGTTTCATCGTTTCAACCTTTAAATACAAAGGCATCCTCCCACTTCTAAGTTTAGCTCGTTTATGTACCTTAAGTTGATGTTTCATCATTTGTTTTCTATAACCAAATGCTTTTCCACAGATATTACAAACATGTTCCTTAATTCCACTATGGTCCACTTTATAATGTAATTCTAGTTCCCGTTTAGTGTAGAATCCTCGGTTGCAAGACTCACACTTAAAATCATGTTGCCCTTTATGGGTCTTAATATGTTTGTTCAAATTACTTTTGTTTATAAACCTTGAAGGGCATTGTGAACATTGGTACGGTTTCTCACCAGTGTGAGTGCGCATATGCATCTTGAGAGATTCTCGGAATCTACCTTTGTACGGACAGAGTGAACATTTGAAGGGTAATTTATAGAAATGTGTCAACCTGTGTCGTGTAAATGGTCCCTGCATTGAAAAGTTTTTGCCACAAATATCACACATGAATGGAGTCTCCTGTTTGTGTATGGCTAAATGCTTTTTTAAGTATAATGCTGTATATGATCTATTGCAGACAGGACACACAAGCCTCATGTTCTCATGCTCCTCAGTCAGTTTGTGGTCATTAAACTCCTTGAATGAATCAAATGATATTTCACATTTCTTACAATGATATGATCTCTGTTTTTTAGGTTTATGGTCTTCATAATCCGACAAATTATCGTCGTCGTTTGCATAATCGTAAGAGTCGTCATTACCACTAGCATGTGAATCCTCAACTGGATTTTTTAGGAGGTGATCTGATTGTTGAGCAGTTTTCCTAAATAATATTGCTCCTTGTAGAAGCTCATTGCAAGGCTGACATAAGTATTTAGGATACGGATCGTCCACTGTTACTTCTAGACTGGCAAATATGTTTAAAGAATCCGAAACGTCTTCTAAAGTGTCGTTACCAAAAATAGGTATACAACCTTCTTTTAAACAAACCCTGCAAGTGCTATCATCATTTTGTTCCTTCTTAATATTGCTTTCTGTTGAGTTTTCGTTATTCGAGTTACCTTCGTCCCCTATTTCATCACCGGAGTTCATATTTCTGCCATTCATTCGTCTGCAGTGTAACATTTTCAGAAGTAACATGGGCCCAACCATCTCTTATCGTGAAAAAAGACCAACAGTAAGTCAAGATATTCACTACTAATACTTCAGTGCAGGTGATGAGTTTGGTATTATTTTTTATAGTAATAAACAATAATCACCCAATGTTTACATGAAAAAAGAAGGAATTTGTGGAATGAAATGTCACTTTTAACTTGTCAAAAATTTATTTTTTTATTATTTGTTTATCCACAGTTCAGGAACTAATATTAATGAAATCACTCTGATACTGAATGAACATATTTTAACAATCACAATACTCTGATTGTTGGGTAACAAAACATTCCTAAATAATCTATTAAGTAGAACTGATAAGACAAGATTGGGTGTAACCTGTTAGGATTTAAATAAATAAATAATACAGTGATAAATCGGATTAAGCCCTTACTTTCCGAACTTAAAATATAATGTCACTTTGGCAGTTCCGAAGTGTCAAAAAATGTCAATGTTCGTATATTGTAAACATGAGGTTAGGAATTAATTGCTAAAATCTATAATTTAAAGCTTCTTTTAACACACTCAGTTTTTAAAATATATTTCATAAAAAGTCTAGAGGTGTTTTTGTTATATCCAGACATGAATGCGATCAGGGTGAGTATATATCTCTGTCAAAAATAAAGTGATAATTCTTCCCAAGTAAAATTGATTTTTATTAACTATTTCTGTACATTTTTCAGAGTTTATGGCGTTCATCGCCTTTAGTTCGTGGTGTGATAGCGCCGATTTATGCTATTCGACCTCTTTCAACAGTCACAGCGGTTCCTAATCAAAAACCTATTGATGCGGTACCATCGACTGCGGCAGTGGAACTCGACAAGTTATATAAACGAGTCGAATTGGAAATGCGCGGGATTGACCCTGCTGTGCTGCTGAGTTACTCTTGGTTCTGTGTGGCAGCAGCTTCGCATTTGGGCATTGAAGTTACTAAGAAGTATGTTTTGGTTTTAGGTTATAGATTTTCCATTTATTTTCGCACAAGGAAATAATTTTCTGTTAATCCTTATCGCACGTGTTGTGTGTACCAGTGTATGTGAAATCTTTTAATTAATGTCCGATGTATTTACCAAATTTTACACCTAATAATAATTACCATTGTAAAAATAACCCAGATTTTTCGTTACAGTTGGGCGCTAAGAAAAGCAGAGAAAGAAAGACACACTCTCCTCCGTTGTGTCCACATCTACAAGAAACACAGAGTGCAATATGAAATAAGAACATACTTCCGGTTTATACATCTGCAACGACTCACGGGATCCACCTGCGACACCTTCCTTGAATACATAGAGAGGAACCTGCCAGAAGGTTGTGCATTAAAAGTTACAAAGATCGAATGCCAAAAACTACCTGAACACATAACTCCACCAACTAATGAATAAGATATATTTATAAATGTAGATTTAGAATAAAACATCTCTATAGTATGCATTTTTTTATTTTTAATAATATAGTCAGAACTACAAAATTGAGCTTTTGTTCAAGATAATTTTATGTAGAGTACAGAAAAATAATCAAATAAGTTCAAAATGGGGTATACTAATGTAGTCACTACAATATAGTCTAGTTTAAAAATGCTAGTAGACCATTTATTAGGGCCGCACTACATAATTATTTATTTCAAGTAGGCACAATTAATTGTATAATCATCTAAAAAGCACGGCTCCGGCGCGGTGTTGTTTCGTATTTGCTTACCACTAACCTTGAGTGGACCGCGTGCTGACCAGTGACCACCCACTATCAGCTTTTTGTTAGTCGTTATCAAATGTACCATACAACACTATTAACTCGTCGAGTACCGGTTTTATAGACACAATTAAAGAATAATAGGTCGCGGTCACCGGTGACCGCTTGGTGTTTGACAGTTTAAAAGTTCATAATATTTAAATGACAACTTAATTGCTGGGTTGGAGGCGTGCTTATTAGATGTGCAATGACTTAAGTATACATACTCTAGACGCTATTAGGTTTTCTAATTTACCTTTTAAAATAAATCTTTAACAAGTCATAAGAAATGATGTATACAAAGTCTCGTAAAACATGATGGAAAGACTTATTAACAATTATCGGTAAGTAAAGGGGGTTTCACGGTACAGTTGCTGAATTAAGCTATGGATTATACACAGTGTTTGCAATTAAAATTAATTAAAAATAGTCAGAGCACAAAAACAAGTATTAGAATGTAGGTTGACAGTGACAGTGTAAATACTGTTAACGTAAACACAGTGTAAAGACATAATGTTATTATCGGAACTAGTATATTTAACTATTTAATTTTGTACTAGTTTTTCATAAGTATCTGTTAAAGTAAATGGCAAGTTGCACAATATAAAAATGGAGTTGTTTTCTATAGGCTATACCTATAATAATTACTAAAACAATTAGACAAAAAGTTCTTAACACTTATTTCTAAAAGATGTCCTATTTATTATTTTTTATAGCTTTTTACAAAAGCCATAGTTCAATAAAATTAGGAAGCTTTTTCAAAAGGGAGGCACAAACACACTTAGTAAATATTTTGGTATAGGTAATAAACTTAAAACTATTTTTTAAGCCCTAGTCTAGTACATTTTTAAATTCAGTCATCACATTTTGGCATCAAAATCTTTTTGGCATGGTCGTAATTAAATTCTATTCATATTGTTGATGTTTGCATACTGTAACAATGAACAAGATGGCAAAAGCGAGCTCTAGAGCATGGAACATCAACATTACAGCGCACCAAATATACTCCAAGCGCAGTATGTATGTTTGGTAGATCAGGAAGTAGCATACACCTACAGCAGAAGGTATTGTCAACACTACTGAGAAAAATACTGGCACTTCTGAAAAGGAAAAAAGTTTAATTAAAATAGAATCCAACTATATCATGGTGGACACTAAGGAATTCTTATATTTGAAGAATTCTTATATTTAATTACAATTTGATTATAACAGATGTTTGTATGGGTGTACCATACAGATAGATGTACTTTTTTATTATAATTTTTCTTACATAATTATATACTTACTCTTACTGGCTAAATTTCCTCTTCGTCCCAAGAATATGCGTATAACTTCAACGAGACACAAAGCACTAAATATACCGGCTTCTGTTATCAAAGCATTTTCCGGATAAGAAACATTGATAGCTTTTAATATTCCCATTGCCACTTCACACACGAAAAACATCCCCAGATAAAAACTGTTTAGATATAATAATATCTCATATGCTAAACTAGAATTCACATTGGTCACTTTAGACATTTTCCTGAATGAATCAATGATGAATTTCGTTTTGTTTACTGTTGTTTACGTAGGTATCACTTTTTTGTTTATTCGATCGACCGCCTCGACAACGGGGTACCGGACATGCAAGTGACGTAAGCTAATATTGTCAAATTCAACGTCCAATGAAAATTGCGCGCGCCTGTATTGATTTCCGCGTTTCGTCATATTCAAAAAATGTACTTAACTTTACAATTTTTTTTATTTGTTTTTTAAGTACAATAGGTTTACCATTTTGTTCTCATGTATTATAGTAGATGGACAGTTATTTTATAAAGATGTCTTATAAAACGCAATTTAACGACAACCCAATTTGTGGATTTCTATGTTGTAGTTATTTTAATTCAATACAAACAATAAAATAAACACAATTACAAATACATTTCCTTCATTATTTCCATTAGAGTTCCATTCATTAGAGATAATTATTTCACCGCTTCGTTTACGCACTTCATTGCGTGCGTATACGGTCGAGTGCGTTCGTCCGTTACGCTGTTATGTAACAAACAACAAATGCAGTAATGCACTATCAAACAGGTGAGTGTTTATACTAAAACGGAAAGTTACCGTGTAGGAAGAGTAGTGCGGAAATTAAGCAGCACTGCAACTTGCGGCTAAGCAATTTCTACTTGTAATATGTACCTACATACTGCATTTGTGGTAGAATTCCTGATGTCATCTTTACAATGATACCTACATATGATTATGATTAAGATTTCAACATAATAAGACTAATATTATATACTAGCTTCTGCCAGCGGCTTCGCCCGCGATCCCAGGGGACAAATGCCTATGTATCACTTCAGACCATAATCTACCTCTGTTCCGAATTTCATTCCGGTCCCTTCAGTCGTTTTAATATGACTGAGTAACAAACACACATAAACTCACATATTTTCATTTATAATATCAAGTCAAGCTAATTTCAACCATTGGCCTTTCAGTTACAGCGTAAAGTCTATGAATGAGTATTGTAAACGTTAGAGTAGACAAATACAATCAGAAATCACCGAATTGCTAAGCTATCGGGAGCTTCACGTGTTATTGTGAGTCAACCATAAAAGATAGACATATGCTGTCGAGGAATATTTTTTATATAATATTAAGGAGAATATTTCCGTCATACATGATTTCTATGTAGCTTTAACCTATAAGCCTGCACACGCGACGGAAGCTTAAAAAATGGAGTAACTTCTCCCGTTTTCCCAATATTTCCCTTCACTGCTCTGCTCCTATTGATCGTAGCGTAATGAAAAGTATACTATAACCTGCCCAAGAGTATGAAGAATAATTGTGCCAAATTTCGTTAAAATCCATCGAGTAGTTTTTGTTTCCATAACGAACATACAGACAGACAGACAGACAGACAAAAATTTTACTGATTGCATTTTTGGCATCAGTAGCGATCCCTAACCACCCTTTGATAGTTATTTTTTAAATATATTTTATGTACAGAATTGACCTCTCTACAGATTTATTATAAGTATAGATAGATAAGTCATAATATTATATTGAAATCTTAATCATAACAGTAACTAAGTCTATACAACTAAGGTTTATGGTGGATCTCTATCTAGAAAGATACGTAAATATTTAAGTATCTAAAACTCGTAATAAATCTTTATAAGTTTTGATATTAGGTATGTCTCCAAGGCTAGTCTCATGTTAGGGACAGGCCTTGGCCTGGAATTTCGCCCATAGCCCACTACCATATATATATATAGGTACCTATATACTGTTTTTAATATTACAGAGAAATCGACGATTGGATAGCGATAGACTAATAGAACCGTTTAACAATCTGGCAATATCTCAAAACCTAGGGGCGTACGAAAAAAAAACAATTTTTTCTTGTGTACAAGGGGATTATAACCCTTATGAATGAAGCACCCCTTTTAGTGACCATGAGAGATGTAGGACCTAAGAAATTAATAATCTGAAATCAATGGACCCATTCAAAAAGAATCTCGATGTATATAAAACTTGGGAAAAAAACGCATGTAAAAGTTACGTACTTTAGCCATTTTGGTAAGTACCTAGTTACTACCGGTAGCGTCCCTTTTCTAACTGGACTCGTATTTACATGTACACACGGCCACACATCAATCTATACAAAACCAGTTTATCCACATAACTTTTTTCGAGAATAAAAATGTATACATTATGCATCAAAATATTGCAGGACTCCTAGCAAAGTCTGATATGATCACCGTATGTCTAAATGAGCTGTTAGAAAAAGGTATACAAGTGGACCTATTATGTATTACGGAACATTTTATGATGGAAGGTTATGAAGTCCATCTCAATATACCTAACTACTGTTTGGCTGCATGCTTTAGTCGTAAGAAAAACAAAAGAGGTGGTGCTTGTATACTCATAAAAAATAGTCATAAGTGGAGGGAAATAACAAGAATAGCTAAATTGTCTATAACGGGTATTTTTGAATGTTGCGCTATAGAACTTTTAAATTATAATATTGCAATTGTGTGCATATATAGAGTACCTAATTCAGCTAACTTTAACGAATGTATGAGTAGATTGGATATATTATTGCGTATTCTGATACAAAAACCATTCAAAAATGTTGTACTGGCGGGTGATTTTAATATAGATATATTGAAAAAAAATAAACACACACTTGAATTTGAAAATTTATTATTGAATTTTAATTTAAAACTATCAATTCGTCAACCTACGCGTTTAAAGAGCAATACATGCATTGACAATTTTGCGCACAATTTTGATTTCTCTCGTAAAGCTATTGTTCTAGAATTGGCTTTGTCTGACCACACGGCACAACTACTCAATTGCCCGATTAGAACTGTAAGCCCCGGGACACGTTGGCGGACCACTAAACGGGACTATAGTATGGAGAACATGGATAAATTTAAGTCTTACCTAAGCAGCCTATCGTTTACTGAGGTGTATAAATCGAAGGACCCAAACATTGCTTACAAGGCCTTTACAGAATTGTTTTCTTTGTTATATACTCAGTGCTTTCCTGAAACTCTTGTCTCTGTAAACATGAAAAGAAGGTCTAGTTGGGTCTCCCGTGGTATTAAGATATGTAGCAAAAGGAAGCGTCAATTGTTATGGAAGTATAGACAAAAACCTACCGATATAAATAAAAATAAATTTAAAAATTATTCAAAAATACTTAAAAAAATTATTTATTTAACTCAACGAGCACAGAATACGCATAAAATTCAAAAATCAAACAATAGGTCTAAGACTACTTGGGAAATAATAAATCAAAGAAAATTAAATTTACCAAAAAATACTATAGACAAAATTCTATATAATAATGAAACTGTTACTGACCCCAGGATTATAGCAGATATATTTAATAACTATTTTATAGATAAAATAAAACCTATAACTAGTTCGGGAACCATAGTCACTAAACATATTTTGGCAAAAAAAGACTCAATGTTTATGGCGCCTAGCCTGGCAATTGATGTATTAAAAATTATAGCGGCCTTAAAAAATACAAACTCTGTAGGAGACGATGGCATATGTACAAAAATTGTAAAGTCAGTGGCATATGAAATCAGTAGTCCTTAAGTTACATAATTAATTTAAGCATAAGTGAAGGTATATTTCCGACTGAGCTAAAAAAATCAATTATAAAACCACTGTTTAAGAAACAAGACAGGGAGCAAGTGGAATTTTACAGGCCTATATCACTTATATCAGTAATGTCGAAAATTTTTGAAAAATACATTTATAGGGAACTTAATAACTATTTTGAAAAAAATAATATACTCTGTGACGAACAGAAAGGATTTAGGGAGAAAAAAACAATCAATTTGGCCATATATGATTTCTTGTATAATGTTATGACAAACATGGATAAAAACACACCAGTCTGCGCCATTTTCTGCGACATGACACAGGCTTTCGACTACGTACAGCATAATATACTACTAAATAAACTTGAGGCATATGGTATCAGGGGAAATGTTTTAAATCTAATAACATCATACCTACATAATAGAAAACAAGTAACCCAAATTAGTAGAATAAATGTGAACACTCAACGTGAAGAAATTTTCACATCATGTGCGCGTACAGCTCCTCATGGAGTTCCGCAAGGTAGTGTACTTGGACCGCTCCTATTTACTCTGTATAAATGATTTCCCTAAAGCCATTAAACATCCGATGACTCTGTTTGCCGATGACAGTACGATTACTATACCATGCCATGAAAAAACTAATTATGAAATGGACATAAAAAGTACTTTAATTGAAGCGGTAAAGTGGCTTGATAATAATAATTTAAAAATTAATATAAATAAAACTATGATTATGCATTTTAGTCATCGATTATCCTTATTTTCTAATCTTGACATCGAATATAATAATAATAGAATACAAATGCTGAAACCACAAAATTTTTAGGACTGACAATCGACAAAAATTTAAATTGGAAAGCGCATGTTGAATCTCTAGCCAAACGAATAAGCAGTGCGGCATACGCGTTATATAAATTATCGCGTACTGTAAATATAGAAGCGTTATTGACGGCCTACTATGGTTTGGTTGAATCGGTCATTAGATACGGTGTAATCTTTTGGGGTAACTCAACCGATAGGGATGTCATTTTTAAGAGACAAAAATACTGCTTGCGATCTATGTTTAATCTCAAATCTACTGACAGCTGTAAAAATTACTTTATTAAATATCGTGTATTAACATTGCCTTCACTTTATGTATTAGAAATAACAATGTTCGTGAAGACAAATCCACATTTGTTTCCTCGTATGGCAGACAGATTTCCAAGGAATAGACGTGACGATAGCCAACTATGTTTACATACATCAAAAACTGCACTTATGCGCAAGAGTGTATTTTGCATGGCACCAATTATCTATAATAAATTACCCAAAAGTTGGAAAGAACTAACTATACCTAAACTAAAACAAACAATGAAATTGTTTTTGGCACAGAAAGCTTATTATAGTATAACGGAGTTTTTAAGTGAGTCAGTGATTGTTATAAATAAATAACAATAAAAACTAACATTGCCCTAATTAAGGTTGTGTCACAGTGTAGGACACAAAGAAACATATTGTTAATATTATTACAATTGAATGTTATTAAATAATAAGTAAAATATATAATTTGTATAATAATAATTAAATCATTTTTAGTAAATATTAATTGAATATGAACAAA